CAGAAGAAGCGCCCATCAGCTGGAATGTTGCAGCATCTCCAGGGTCTTGTGATTTGCATTCAGATGCTTGGCAACCGATTCATATTTATGACGGTCACAGTATCCCGGGGTCATGTGAAGTGACCAAAACCTGCTGCAACCACCTAGCAGACGGGGGGGGGGAACCAAACCCCAAATGCCAATCCTCAACAGAAATGCTCACAACAATGAAAACCTCGGACAGGAGGAAAAGCGCCAGCGGGTGGGCAGGTGTCGTGCTCGGCTGTGACTTGGGGGGCACTTTTTTCAGGGCCATTGTAACTTCGAACAGTCAGTAAGCGAACTGTTGTAAGTCGAGGACTACCTGTACTTTTATCACTTTTTTCCTTTTTTTTTTTTTGGCTCAAGTTTTTGACACCTTGCTAGGTGACTGGTGGTACTCGGATGTTGCCATATCCTGAAAGTGATACAATGGGTGAAAAGGTTGAAAAGCCCTGGTGTAGATAACTCTGCCAATAGAGAAGTGATGGCAAACTTTGGGCTCGCCCTATCAAAAATGGAGAAAATATCTAACTTGACTCGGCTGGCACGTATCATCCCACCCTCCATACCCCCCCCAAACAAAAGTGAAACAATTCTTTATTTCTCCCCCAACGATATAAAAAAGATGTTGAGACTCTGGAAAGAGGACAGAGAAGAGCAACAAGAATGATTAGGGGGCTAGAGGCTAAAACATATGAAGAACCGTATATGTCTAGTTCAGGGGTAGGCAACTTTGGCTCTTTTATGACTCGTGGACTTCAACTCCCAGAATTCCTGAGCCAGCATGGCTCAGCTTGGCAACCTCTCCATTGCCCCTCAGCGTGGCTGGCTCAGGAATTCTGGGAGTTGGAGTCCACCAGAGCCAAGGTTGCCTATCCCTGGTCTAGTCTAATCAAAACAAGGACCAGGAGAGACGTGATCACTGTGTTCCAATATTTGAGGGGCTCCTACATAGACGAGGGGGTCCAATTGTTTTCCAAAGCACCAGAAGGCAAGATGAGAAATAATGGATGGAAACTAATAAGGAGAGACGCAGCTTGGAATTAAGGGGAAACCTCCGAACAGTGAGAACAATTAACCAGTGGAACAGCTTGCTTTCGGACGTTATGGGTGCTCCACCACTGGAGGCTTTTAAGAAGAGATTGGACAGCCACTTATCTGAAAGGGTATAGAGGGTTGAGCAGGGGGTTGGACTAGAAGACCTCCAAGGTCCCTTCCAGCTCTTTTATCCTATGTTCTATTTGTAACTAGGTCACTAGGCCACTGATGTCCACTTGTCTTAAAAGTTGTCAGGGTTGGATCCCATCTTGAAGTTGCTTAGTAAAGCAGCAATTTCGTACTCTTTCCCCTCTCGTTCGATTAGCCTTCAATGCACGCCAGTCGTGGAACTTGTATCCTCCAGCTTTGGGCTCTATACGGTAGCTAAAATTGGCTACAGTTTTCTAATTATCTATAACAGTGGTTCTCAACCTGTGGGTCGGGACCCCATTTGGGGTCGAATGACTATTTCACGGGGGTCGCCAAATAAGGCTGTCCGCCATTTTTTCCCCCTTTTCTTTGGCCACGCCCCTGGCACCCGGTGATGTATAAGTGGTTGGGGGTCACCACAACATGGGGAACTGTATTATGGGGTCGCGGCATTAGAAAGGTTGAGAACCACTGATCTATAAAGACAGCACAGGAAGCAAGGAAGCAAAGGTAGATCTCAAATGCTTTTAGGTTTAGGACTAAAACAAATAAAGGCAGTTCCTTACATTTCAACAAATGTGTTTAACCCCAGATATGATTTATGGAAACAGTTGATAAGAGGCAAAGCTACATTTCAGTAAGGTTAGATTTTACTCTTCTCTTCTCTTAAGGATCATGCTTGAAATAGTGCAAATGAGAACAGTTGACCCAAATTATGCCTTTGTAGTAATGATAATCACCTTTCATTCCTCAGGATACTCTGGGTATTTTGGTTACTATTTTCACATTTCCTGAAAGCTGCGATACGTGATCCTGGACAATCCTATGTAGGCTGTTAAGCTGCTCTATTACTTTGGTCTTTAGCCAGCTAGCCCTTAACTGCGGTCAAGGTGACTGAGAACAGTGACAGAAGCAGTGAGGATCTTGGACCGTTATTATCTTGGGAGGCGTTTTTCCTTTGCTTGATCTTAAATGTTCACAGAAATGCTCATGAGAAGCAGGGAAGGGGGGGACTCAGTTCCAGTATGCCTTCAAAGATAATTTAATTAGTCGCCAAGGAAAATACTTTTATTGTTTCTAAGGTCTATTTCTCTACTCCGCTGCAGCTTATCTTTTTAAAAAGCATTACAAAATCCAGGCAGCGCTGCCTTCATTTTGGAGGAGAGAAGACTAGTGATCTCTCAGTCAGTTATGAAGCAGTGCAGAAGTACACAGAGGCGTCTTCAAAAATCTTTTTGAGTTAGACTCCTGACCCACCAGAGGTTGTCAGAGCAACCGGTCTGTTGTCCTTCAGTTCTTCGATGGAGGGTTTCTTTGGCACTGGGATGGTAGTAGAGCATTTGAAGGAAGAAGGAACATAGCATACCTCTAGTGATTTTATTAAAGATTCAGGTGAAGGTGGGGGGCAATTGATCAGCACAAGTTTTTAAGCAAGGAGGAGTTATCTTGTCTGGGCCTGGTGCTTTTCCAGGCTTTTGTCTGTGAAATAGACCTTGCACATCATCATAGAGGTGGAGGACCCAAGGGGATGGGGTCAGTTGTAGGAGGTATGGCTGTTGTTGGTGGTTGTGAGATGGGGATGGTGGAGATAGGTGACAGTGGCTTCCTCTCAAACCTACGGCAAAACACATTCAGGTCGTCTGCCAGTTGTTGATTTCCTTCAGCACGGAGAGAAGAGTTGCATCTTATGATTTATGATGAAGTGTTGTATTACACGATTTATGATGAATGTATTTTCATGTTGTATATGATCACGATGATCACTATTACTTGTATGTACACTGAGAGCTTATGCACCGGAAACAAATTCCTTGTGTGTCACTTGGCCAATTATTCTATTCTATTCTATTCTATTCTATTCTATTCTATTCTATTCTATTCTATTCTATTCTATTCTATTCTATTCTATTCTATTTTTCCATTCCACTCCACTTCATCTATTCTATTCTATACTATACTATACTATACTATACTATACTATACTATACTATACTATACTATACTATACTATACTATACTATACTATACTATACTATACTATACTAATACTATACTTATACTATACTATACTATACTCTATTCTACTATCTCTATATTTTATTCTATTCTATACTCTATTCTATATTCTATTCTACTCTACTCTATTCTATTTTATACTATACTCTATTCTACTCACTCTACTCTACTCTACTCTACTCTACTCTATTCTATTCTATTCTATTCTATTCTATTCTATTCTATACTCTACTCTACTCTATTCCATTCCATTCCACTCCACTCCATTCTATTCTCTACTCTACGCTACGCTACGCTACGCTACTCTACTCTACTCTACTCTACTCCACTCCACTCCACTCCACTCCACTCCACTCCACTCTGCCTGATGCTACCTTTTCCTCCCTGAATGTTCACATTTTATAAAGATTTGTTTTTTTTAAAAAAATTCAGCCTCTATTATCCAGCCTGTCCATTTTCTTCTTAACTTTCGGTCAGATGAAGCCCCTTTCCTGAAATTTCCTCACGAAGAAGAACTGAAATGGCTCTCTTGAACGGCGCTTAAGCCAGGAGTCTTCAAACTGGGCCCTTTTATGACTTGTGGACTTCAACTCCCAGAATTCCTCAGCCAAGCAAGAAAAGGGCCAAGTTTGAAGACCCCTGGCTTAAGGCATTATGTAAAGTCGATGAAGGTTGCATCAATATAGTGACAGTTAAAGCAGTATTAATTAGGCTCCTGCCACCTTGCAGTCCTCCCACTCTTTGTGCCTTTTCTTCAAGGTTTTCATCTATATTCTCCACCATTGCATTTGGAAAATTACTTTGGAAGCTACTAGCAGGGAACCTCAGTGGTCAGTACGACGCTATTATCCCGTGAAACTGTTATCCCAACCCCTGTTAGCTTTAGGTTCCATATAAAACCCAAGAGGTACTATAGGGAATATCAGCGTACTACATGGATCCCCTAAACTCCTTTTGTGCTACTAAATTTTCACTAGAGTTAACATCTCTCTCTCTCTCTCTCTCTCTCTCTCTCTCTCTCTCTCTCTCTCTCTCTCTCTCTCTCTCTCTCTCTCTCTCTTAAAGTAAAGGATAATCTCCTTTCCCCAATTGCAAGAATTAAAGTAGCATGCCATCTGCTAGCCATTATATGATGGTCTCTGACCACTGGAGCTTTTAACTGCTGACATTGATTTTAGAAGTGGGAACTGCACAGCTGTTGCCGGCATTAGACGTACCGTTAGACTTTCCCCGTTTAGAATGGCTTTGAAAGTGAAGAAAATGTACTTATTCATTTGGTTTGACTTACTGTTAAAAACCAGACATGCATCTTTTATGTGTGATCATCCTGAAGCAGGCCCAGACTATATTCAATAAAACCACTGTTTTGTTAAATAGGCAGGTACGCTGAGCCAGGTTAAGTTAACTTAGCAAGATGTATTTGAATAGTAACTTCTACTTTGATTTTTTTTCCTCCCTCAACCTTCTTATTAAGCAAGATACCCTGATCACTAGAATGCTTTGTTTTTTGAGAACCAGGCCATTAAAATTTGTGCCTCACGGTCCTAATAATGTCTGACTTTGGAAATTGTTGTGCAATGATGAAACGTAAATTTCCGCATGGAGCATGATGAGATTTTACTGATTAATTTAAAAACGGCATTATTTGTTTAGCCATAGAAACTAATCTTTGGAAATATTGGTTTATCGTACAGTAGAGCAGTATGTTTCCATTAAGATGGCTCTGGAGATTTGTGAGACTGAGAAGTGTGCTCTGTTTTTCCTCTCCATTTCAGAATATGACAGATACCTAGCATCTAGCAAAACTATGGCAGCAGCTTATCTAGACCCAAACTTGAATCATACGCCAAGCTCAAGCACAAAAACGCACCTCAGTTCCGGGGTGGAACGTTCTCCGGGGACAATGGAACGAGTCCTGAAAGTTTTTCATTATTTTGAAAGCAACAGTGAACCAACAACGTGGGCCAGTATTATCCGACATGGAGATGCCACAGATGTTTGGGTGAGTTGATTTCATGTTTTTAAAATGTTTAGCGCTTCTGAGGTGGAAGCCCTTCTCATAAGGTGAGCCAAGTAGCTTGTTGGCTGTGTTGAAGGAAAAGTCTTCATCATGGTTCAGTCCAAGCTGGGAATAAACAACATGGCGACTGCTTTATGAAGAAGGTTGCAGTTTATTGAAGAGGAGAGCCAGACAGGAAGATGGCTCTGGAAGAAAAAAGGGAGTGAGCACGTGTAGGGAGTGGGTTTTTATACCCTCTGGAGCCTTTTGTTTGGAGTTGTTCCTGTGGCATGAACTTTGACCTGAGTCTGAGTGTGCCTTTCTGATATTCTGATGGTGGTGGGTTAATCCTATTATGTCCCAAGGGTCATATCCTGCTTCCCTGGGGCTGTGGCTGATGACTCTTAGATTTTTGGTGTTGATTCTAGGGATCTTTCTTCCTAATCCCAGTTTCCTGACTCCAGTCTTTCTGACAAGATTATCATCTGCATTTTGCAAACTTGGTTTCTGTTTGGGACAGAGAGACTTGGGGGGGAGGGTGTTGGTTTCTGCCTTTAAAATCCTTTAGGGAAATATATTCTGCCTTTTAAATATTTCCAAAAATATTTTTTTCTCTGGGGGGGGGGGCTGACTTCCCACAGCTGTGTAAGACCAATGTTCCGTGCTCTGATTGTTTTTCCTTCTGTATGGACTCTTAGCCTTGAGGGATATCGGAGTTGAAGACCACAAACCTTAAAATTTGCCAAGGTTGGAGACCCCTGTTCTAGAGGCTTCTTTACGTTTAGAGGTCTCATACTAGAAGCCTCAAGATCTCTCCCCTTGGGGTGGGGGTGGGGGCTTATAGTTTAACAGATGCTGTCATGGCTACCAAAGAGGTTTGAGCATATGGAGTCTAGCTGTACAGTAGTTCTCAATTTACAGCCCGATACTTAGCTACCATTTGAAGTTACGGATTCCCCCCCCCAGCCCCCCCAGGCTTCTTTACAATCCATTTTCAAAGTTATGGTGGCTGTGTGTGTGTGTGCATGTACATGAATGCTGATGTTTATGGCTAATGTTTCTTTATTATGAACTAATCTTATTTGGACACAATTTACATAAAGCTTTTATTCTGTTACATCATTCCCTTTTATCTCAAAATACGCATTTGAAAGATACCCAGAAAATCTATGAAAAACACATTTTCTGTCAAGCTAAACATTTTATTTTTTTTCCCCCTTCCCACCTTTAGGGCATAATTCAGAAGATCGTGGACTGTCACAAAGTAAAAAATGTCGCCTGTTTCGGTTTACGGCTTAGTCACCTACAGTCCGAGGAAGTTCACTGGCTACATCCAGACATGGGGGTCTCCAACGTGAGAGAGAAATTTGAAGTAGGACATGCACCAGAGGAATGGAAGTAAGATTCATTTCCGTCTTACTTATAAGTGCAAAAGGGTGGATGGAATTGCCTGAACGTATAAACTGCATCGTGGCCTGTCTACGTGGTTGAAATAACCACAATGAAGTTTATGAAGAGACGGTTTTCTTTGTGCTCCTTAGGAATAGAAATGGTGTGAAACTGGATGTTTGGGTGAAAGTGTGTGCTGTCCTGCTCACACACACACACACACACGTAATAGTGGTTTAGTGGGTTTATTAATATTCCCCAGCAATTCCCTTCACCAAAACTGCAGAACTGTCCCAATTACGTTCAGCCAAAAGCAAACCAATGCTAGTCCACAGCTCAGTGGCCAACGAGTCCACAAGGCACTTGAAAGTTTCCCAAACGAGGTAAACCCACCAGGCAAAATTAAATCTACGACGAGAGGGTTCACAGGGCAAGGAAAGTCCAGATTTCACAAGGCACAATCCAGGTGAAAGCACGGTGTCCATCCAAAGCAAGGCAGGAATCACAGCAACCAAGAAACACACAGCTAGGAAATGAATACATCGTTCCCAGCATCATCTCCCTCTGTCTGCTGTGCTAAAGAGGCTGCTTCTGGTGCAGCCCATCAAGAAGGGCGAGGCTGCTCCCTCTCAAGCAATCAGGCTGACCTCCTCTGCGCCTGCCTTTTCTCTGTCCTACCTGTTCTTGGATCAGGTGCAGAAGGCAATTCCTCTTCCTTGTCACTGACAGGCTGCAGCTGTGTGTTTTTCCCACCTGAAGCCTCAGGGCTGTCCTGCTGCAGCTGTGCTTCAGCCAAATCCCCCTCTAATGACTGCTCAGAGCCATTGACCAACTCCCCTCTAGATGTGCCTAGAACTGTTTCTTCTTCCTCCAAGCTGACATCTGGAGAGGTATCTGGGAAAGCATTTGGGGCAGGCATCCCAAAACACAGACAAGGGGAATCTGTTTTTAGATGTCTAAGATGACCAGGCTGAGCCCGAGGGTGAGTCAAACACTAACACACCATCAGTTTGGAGTCACTGACCCACAGAAGAAATCTTAGTCCAGCCCCCCCCCCAAGCCCGTTGACTCTTACGTGGCGCCAATTTGCTTTGACCACTACTAGATCAGATTCTTGTGTATGGGATAAACTCGTAGTGCTTTTGAACGCTATCCTGGTTCCTGGTTTCTCGCGCCTAACAAGTTAGGGTAAAAAAATAAAATAAAACAGGAGCGTGATAAATGCAAACAGTATTTTAGAGGGGCTGGCAGTCTCAATGCAAAGTGATAGAAAGCCTGTCCCCAAATGGCTTATCTGCTGTCCCAGCAGTTGACACCAGGGAAAAATGGGCCTGCTTATCTGCTCTGCATTAATCCTTGCTGACAAGGCAAAGAGGAGCGGTTTCTAATACGTGGGAAGTCCATGAGTGGAATGAAGAGCGACGGAAGGAAGGAATAAGACGAAGAGAGAAATCAGACAGGGAAGCAAATAGACTGCATAATTGTCTTCTCTAAGCCCATCCAAACACCTGAGCTTCTGTATGTTTTAAGCCAGTGGTTCTCAACCTTTTTAATGCCGCGACCCCCCAACCGGTCGTAAGTCGAGGACTACTCAACCGGTCGTAAGTCGAGGACTACTCAACTGGCGCAGCACCGTTTGCAGAATGGGACTTTTGGAGGGCTCAGCAGGGCAGAGACAGCCTGGACAATTCCTATTGGCTTTTGAAAGCCAATAGAATTAGACTCTATTCAAGAGAGTCTATTCTATTGGCTTTCAAAAGCCAATAGAATAAAAGGGAGTAGCACAGCTAAGGAAAAGGGGGAAAAAAATGGCGGACTGCGTTGTTTGGCGACCCCCGTGAAATGGTCGTTCGACCCCAAATGGGGTCTCGACCCACAGGTTGAGAAGCACTGTTTTAAGCCATCTAACTTTTTTTTAATGGGATCATGTGTGCCATCTTTGTGGATTGTCTTCCAGAATAGAGCACGTACACACTTTAAGCTTAAGACGGTGACTTATTTATTCAGAGATTATGTACTTTACAAGCAGCATGATCCCAGTAGGTGGCCACATGTTCTGAGCCTCTGAAATAATTCTCTCTACGCTTGTCTGGAGTGTTAAGTTCTGGAGAAAAAAAATACCCACCAAATTGCAGGCTCTCCTATAACTCCTTTGAATACCGAATATCTTGAAGCGTATTAAATATATCAATATGTCTGTTCTGTGGAGATTTATTTTCTATTTTTTGGGGGGGGTGGGGGAAACCATAACTTTTTGTAAAAAAAAAAATTAGCTATGAAGTATACAAATATATCGTTTCCTCTAAGTATTCAGTGGTGTCCCCAAATCTTAATGCATTATGGATTAAAATCCTGTTATATCTGATATTCAGGTGATCAGGTCCTACAAAATCCCCTACGAAAGAACTGCCAGTGGTGTTGGCGCTAAATTATTCAGAATATTTCCAGTGTGTCACTTCATGCTTTATCAGAATTGTGCAGCCTGCCTTGCTGTCTTAAAATGGGGGATAATGTAGAAGTTGCTGTCAAGTTTGCCTTAATACCGTAAAGCAAGCATTTGGGATCAGATGACGGCACATGTAAAAGTTTAAATTAGCATTTTTAAAAAAGGAATCCTGGAAGAGTGTTTCAATTTAATGCTTTGCTGCATTCTAATAATATATCAGCTGGAATTCTTGTCTAAACTGCTTTAACATTCTTTAAAAAAAAAAGAAATCTTAAAAACGTAAAAAGAGGCTTAATAATGCCAGCAAGAATCAGAAAATATGATGGCTTATTTCTGGTATTTATGAATGCTTTTTCAGTTTCTTTTCCTCGGTTAACTGTCTTCTAGTTAACCGAGGAAAAGAAACTGAAAAAAGTACTCATACAAAGATGATCAGGGGACTGGAGGCTAAAGCATATAAGGAACAGTTGCTGGAATTGGGTATGTCTCGTTTAATGACGAGAAGGACGAGGAGGGACATGAGTGTTCCAGTATCTCAGGGGCTGCCCCAAAGAAGAGGGAGTCCAGCTATTCTCCAAAGCACCTGAAGGCAAGACAAGAAGCAACAGATGGAAACTAAGCAAGGAGAGAAGCAACCTGGAACTAAGGAGAAACTTCCTGATAGTGAGAACAATTAACCAGTGGAACAGCTTGCCACCAGAAGCGGTGAATGCTCCAACACTGGAGGCTTTTAAGAAGAGATTGGACAGCCATTTGTCCGAAATGGTATAGGGTTACCTGCCTGAGCAGGGGGTTGGACTAGATGACCTCCAAGGTCCCTTCCAACCTTATTAATTAATTAATTAATTAATTAATTAATTAATTAATTAATTAATAGAAGACAGTTGCAGGGATTTGTAGCGTGTTGGCATGAACACCCGGCTTATATTTACCCATCAAAAATCAGGCTAATAATAGCTGGGTTTTTTTTGATCATATCTAGTTAACATTTCCCTTTTTACATTATAGACTTCTCTTTGAAGAAATATATAGGTGCACCCTCATTGCCTCTTGTTGTTTTTCACAATCATATTTAAAATCTCTAGTGGTGGTAGCAGAATGTTAATGTGCAAACTTTAGGAAGCACAGCGTACAAAATGGCTTTACAGAGCGATGGATGAAGGTTGTTCAATTCATTAAAGTTTATCAACAACATAGTGCTTAAGGTCCGTTTCTGGAAACCCAGGAGACAGAGTTCTAGTCCTAAATGTAGGCATGAAAGCCAGCTGGGTGATTTTGGACCAGTCACCAGGAGACTGTGAGTTCTAGTGCTGCCTTAGGCGTGAAAGCTGGCTGGGTGACTTTGGACCAATCACTAGGAGACGGTGAGTTCTAGTGCTGCCTTGGGCATGAAAGCCAGCTGGTTGACTTTGGGCCAATCACCAGGAGATGATGAGTTCTAGTGTTGTCTTAAGCATGAAAGCTGGCTGGGTGACTTTGCACCAATCGCCAGGAGATGGTGAATTCTAGTGCTGCCTTAGGTATGAAAGCTGGCTGGGTGACTTTGGGCCAATCACCAGGAGACAGTGAGTTCTAGTGCTGCCTTAGGCATGAAAGCCGGCTGGGTGACATTGGGCCAATCACCAGAAAACGGTGAGTTCTAGTGCTGCCTTAGGCATGAAAGCCGGCTGGGTGACATTGGGCCAATCACCAGGAAACGGTGAGTTCTAGTGCTGCCTTAGGCATGAAAGCTGGCTGGGTGATTTTGGGCCAATCACCAGGAGACGGTGAGTTCTAGTTCCACCTGAGGTGCAAAGCCAGCTGAGTGACTTTGGGCCAGTCGCTTTCTCTCAGCCCTAGGAGGCAGGCAATGGCAGGCCCTCTTTTGAAATCTTTCCCAGACAATTTCAGGGGCCAGTCCAGGGAGTTGCCAAGAGCCAAGACTTGTCTCATTCGCACACACAGGTGTGGCACATTTCTCATACGGACATCTTTGTGGCGTTGTTAGCAGGTGTCATGCAAAGGCCTCTGCTTTGTCCTAACTCGGTTTGAACGAAGAAACCGTCATTCTGGCACCCAGGGTGTCCCCGACAGTTATTTGAAAAGTGGAATTGGCAATTGATAGACATACACATCCTGACTTATAATAGTAATATAATAGTAGTAAAGTTGGAAGGGACCTTGGAGGTCATCTAGTCCAACCCCCTGCTCAGGTAGGAAACCCTACACCATTTCGGACAAATGGCTGTCCAGTCTCTTCTTAAAAACTTCCAGTGTTGGAGCATTTACTGCTTCTGGAGGCAGGCTGTTCCACTGGTTAATTGTTCTCACGATCAGGAAGTTTCTCCTTAGTTCTAGGTTGCTTCTCTCCTTGATGAGTTTCCATCCGTTGCTTCTTGTCCTGCCTTCAGGCATTTTGGAGAATAGCTTGACTCCCTCTTCTTTGTGGCAGCCCCTGAGATACTGGAACACGGCTATCCTGTCCCCCCTCGTCCTTCTCTTCGTTAAACTAGACACACCCAATTCCAGCAACCGTTCCTTATATGTTTTAGCCTCCAGTCCCCTAATCATCTTTGTTGCTCTTCTCTGTACTCTTTCTAGAGTCTCAACATCTTAACGGAAGGACAGCTCGGAAGGATAACAAATCATCAATCATGGATGACATAGATAGGGAAAATTACTACTATGGTTCAGAATACAGAATACAAATATAGGAACCCCTACGCTAGACCAAGTTGGCTCTCACCACTAGGCCAAAGCACTACTGCCTTGCAATAGTGAGCGCCCTACAACGAGAGCGCCCTACATATCCAGAGATACACACGTCCCCTTGTAAACCAGCATACACAAATAGATGTCTGTGTTGTTGAGCTGTGAAGTAAGGGGGAAAGCAGCTCTATCCTTCTGACGCTTACATAGCAACCCCAGATGAGTGAGTTGGGGAGCACAAATATGAATCAGCAATCCATGATCATCAGGCTTGCACATGCAAAGCCAAGTCCTACAAAGATCTCTAACCTTCAAGGACCGGTCAGCTCTGGCCCATCCAGGCTTACTTCTCATAGTCATCGGCCTTCAGTGGGCAAGTCCTTTCTCAATTCCTTTGAAATATGCGCCTGGCTTTCAAAGGCAGGAGTATCCAACGTTGGCAACTTCAAGACTTGTGGACTTCATCTCCCAGAATTCCTCAGCCAGCCATACTGGCTGGGGAATTCTGGGAGTTGAAGTTCACAAGTCTTCAAGTTGCCGAAGTTGGGTACCCTTGCTTTAGACCAGCGGTTCTCAACCTGTGGATCGGGACCCCATTTGGGGTCGAACGACCATTTCACGGGGGTCGCCAAACAACGCAGTCCGCCATTTTTTCCCCCTTTTCCTTAGCTGTGCTACTCCCTTTTATTCTATTGGCTTTTGAAAGCCAATAGAATAGACTCTCTTGAATAGAGTCTAATTCTATTGGCTTTCAAAAGCCAATAGGAATTATCCCAGGCTGTCTCTGCCCTGCTGAGCCCACCAAAAGTCCCATTCTGTAAACGGTGCTGCAAGTTGTCTTGCAGCGAAGGCGAGCTGTCTGGAAGTTTCCACCCCTCCCTGCTGAGCAACTACTAAAAATGTAAGTAAAAGAGGGCCAGGGGTGGGAGGTGGGAGGCCGGCGGGCGCAGGGAGGGTTGCTGGCACGCATGGGGCCCGGCGGGTGCCTTACCTCCCTTGGGCTGGGCCAGCTGGTGGCCCAGCCGGTGGTCACCCTGCGCCGTCGCTGCTCCTTGCCAGCTATGCCTCGGCCAGCGCAGGGGGCGGCACCACGCATGCGTTGCGCTACCGGGCAGGGAAAGTCATCGACTTACGACCGGTTGGGTAGTCATCGACTTACGACCGGTTGGGTAGTCCTCGACTTATGACTGGTTGGGTAGTCCTTGACTTACGACCGGTTGGGGTCGCGGCATTAAAAAGGTTGAGAACCACTGCTCTAGACCAGTGATGGCAAACCTTTTAGAGACCGAGTGCCCCAAAACCGCCCACTGCCCCCACTCTGCCTCCTGCCCTGCCTGCTCCACCTCCACCTGCCCTTTGCCCCACCTGCCCGCAGGCCACGCACAGCCTCCATGGCCCACCGTAGCAGATCGCCCTGCAGCGCCATGGAAGCCACGCCCTCCACCCACACCCCGCAGCATCATCTGCACACTGTGGGGCTCGACGGCGGAGTCTTGTCCCTACTGCCTGGCTATCTCCTTGGCTCCGCTGCTCTGTGTGGGCCGTGCCTGGGGGTGACTCTCCTCCAGGGGGGCTGCTGGTGAGGAGGGGGCCACTGAGGGAGATGGGGCTGGGGCGACAGCGTGTGCGCCACAGAGAGGGCTCCGAGTGCCGCCTCTGGCACGCGTGCCGTAGGTTCGCCACCACTGCTCTAGACGCTCTCAGTTGGAGAGAACATGAGTAGCTGGGGGTTATTGGTTTCTTCTGAATTTATTTATTTATTTATTTATTTATTTATGAGACTTATATACCGCTTTAAGTGCAAGCACTCTCTAAGCGGTGTACACCAGTAAGCAATGTATATATATATATATTTACATTGCCCCCAACAATCTGGGTCCTCATTTTACCTACCCTGGAAGGATGGAAGGCTGAGTCAACCTTGAGACGGTGAGATTTGAACCGCTGACCTGCTGAACACAGTCAGCTAGAGTGGCCTGCAGGTGTTTCATTACCAGGCTAGGTAGCCTCAGTGTTGAGGGGGAGTGAGGTCTGGTGTCTGTTTATACGTCATGGCTTGTACTGTCAGTCTTGGGTGGGATGGCGTCTGTAGCTTGACGAGGAAAGTGTTTCTTCCTTGCTATGTCCTGGTGGTGTTTCTCGCTGAATCTGGATGGTGGCAATAGTAGAATAGCACTTAGCAAGAGCCCTCAGACTTATATACCACTTCACGGGCCTTTACAGCTCCTCTCTAAGCGGTTTACAGAGTCAGCCTCTTGCCCCCCAACAATCTGGGTCCTCATTTTACTGACCTGGGAAGGCTGGAAGGCTGAGTCAACCTTGAGCCCCATCAGGATCAAACTGCTGGCAGTGGGCAGAGTTAGCCTGCAAATACGGCATTCTGACCACTGTGCCACCATGGCTTCTTGTTGTGTAGAGTGAGTGTGGATGTCGATAGGAGAGAGAAACACCCTCCCCTGACTGGCATTTGGGAGATTCACCAATTGGAGCTTTTATCCTAATGCTAAATTGTTGTGATGGGCTAATAATGGGGAATTTCATGCCTTCGGCCACTCCGTCCCACAGTCACACGTGCTGGTTCACTGACTGTTCCTTGTGAGTTCGTTATTCCAGCAGGATTGTCGTCGTGATGCTCTGGTTTTATCAACCTATTGCTCCCAAATACCTGTATTAATTTTTAAAGCACTTTTTTTTGGGGGGGGAAACCCAGTCTTTTATTACTGAGTTACATAAACAGCTTTGGCCCCCGTGCCAGATTGGTTGGCTTTTGCGTACGTGAAAAAATGATAGAATATTTCCCGAGGCCGTCTCTTACAAGGCATTTAGACATTGTTCCAAAGTCTCTTAACCTTCAGGAGCGATTTAGTACTAAAGGAGGCATAAAGAGAGGAAGCAGAAAAGCTCAAAAAGCCTTCAAAACAATGGAAGCCTTTGAAAGCCACTTTTGTGACGGAACTTGAAGCAATTCGTCCCGTTAATCCATCTTACGTTACACTCAACTTTACATGATTTTTCTCTTCCGTTCTTCGTTATTGCCTGTTCAGGTTGTCCTCGACTTACAGCCATGTGACTTATGACCATTTTTTTTTCAAATGTATAACTGTTGCGGCATCCTTACAGTCACGTGATCAAAATCCGGATGCTTGGCAACCGACTCGTATTTATGACAGTTGCCGTGTCCGGGGATCACGTGGTCCCTCTTTTGCGACTTTTTGACAAGCAAAGCCTTATGGGGCGGCCAGATCCGCTTAGCAGCCAAATAACGGCAGTGGCAAGGATGGTCCTCCAATGGGGCAAGACTCATTTAACAATCATCTCACTTAGCGACAGAAATTTTGGGCTAAAATTGTGGCCGTAAGTCGAGGACTACCTGAACTGTAAATACGGTTGCAAATACCGAGTGTCAAAATCGGTTGAAACATTGATCAATATCTTAGCAAGGTGTTATAGAGCAATTTTCTAATTTTTTTTAATATTGTACAGTGGTGGTAATATTTAAAAGGCAATAGTACTAAATTCTCTCTTCCTGTATTGTAGGTATGAGTTGCGAATTCGATACTTACCGAAAGGATTTCTGAACCAGTTTACTGAAGATAAGCCAACGTTAAATTTTTTATACCAGCAGGTAAAAGCAAACAGAAAAAAAGTGTCATAGATTTTGAAAACATTTTTCAAGAATGGAAAATATATTTTGCTCATGTAAGGAATGGTATCAATGTAGAATACTTTTAGTAAAAACACTTTATTTGAAAGAATATTGTTTAAGGGGAAAAAGGGATTGTTAGGCTTGATATTTCAGTGCATTAATTGATTGGTTATTTTGGAGTCTTCCAGAATTCAAGTTTTATATTTTGGGTGAATTCTGCAAATTTTCCAGACATTTGCTGTGTAATGTTATCCATTTTGTCCCCCAGATGTTGCAGTGTTGTAAATTCTAAAGCTGTGAGAACTTCAGAAATAATTACTTAACATTAACCAGAGAATTGGTATTCAAACATTCAAAATATCCAAAACTAAATTGACAATGCCAGGATAGTTAAGAAAAAGTACATATTGTACAGACAAAATATGGAGTAAATTCTGATTAACCTGATTTTTTTTTTAAAAAAAGATTTTTCTACAAGTGTGGGGGAAAAAAAGAGATACCAATGCTTTCTGTGATCCAGTTCTGAAAACACTAACACCTTTTTTTCAGTCTTGCGTGGAAACCTGGAAAAAAAAAATGCCTAATTCAGTGGCTAGCAAAGAGATACTACATTTGGGCAAAATCCAAAACGCTCATTTTCAAAGCAAGAACAGCCGTACAAAGTTTTAAAATATTTTTGTGTGATGCATTATTACTGGTTCGAGGAATACTTTATTTTTTAATTAATTTATTTTTTTTGTATGGATGAATGGTACATACCCATTTCTTGATTATTCCAGCATTCTATATATCAGTGATGGCAAACCTATGGCACGCGTGCCAGAGGCGGTACTCAGAGCCCTCTCTGTGGGCACGCGTGCCAGCCCCATTCTATCTGGGTTGCAATTTGCTTCAATTAATCACCACAGGAGACTAAAGGAAGCCGTTGTGCAGCTCTCATTTTAGATGCCCTCTTGCTTAAGGCCATATTCTCTCTCGTGCTTTTGGAGAAGAGAACAAGGAGAAAGAAGTAGGTTTAAGCACACAAATTCTGTAAATTAGAGAAAAAAACCATTTGAACGTTTTAAGATCGCTTGGTGTGTAATTTTTATAAGGGAATGAGCTCGAATCCCCATCAGAGAAATCCATTGTCTTTAGGGAACATTAATGGTAAGTCATGATTGTTAAACAAGCTGGTTTACACGTTGATACAGTGGTGAGATCAACTTTATGAACTATCAATCCATACTTGTGCAGCATTATAACAAAATATGAATTCGTTAAGCGGCTGAGAAGAATATTTGCGTTTAAAAACCTGTATTGAGTTGACACAACGCTAAACCTTGTGAAATTCCCATGGAATCCTATGAATTGTAGTTTGGGATAAGCGCTGGAATGCTTGTGAGTTCTCTAATTGATTTATAGATAATTGGTTTTGAGGATGGTTTGAAAAGTCAATTTTCAAGTGCTTTTTTTTGACAGTTGTAGATGTCATGCTTAATTTTTAGTATTCATTTAGTGATTATTGGAAGCTACAACAGCACTAAAAATAAAGCGACTTATGGCTGGTCCTTGTACTTGCGACTTACGACACCTCCAGTGTTGCATGATCCAGATTTGTGCCCTTGACAACTGGCCTGTATTTACAACGGTTGCAGCATTATGGGGGTCAGGAGACCACCCTTGGTGACCTTCCCAGCCAGCTTCTGACCAGCAACAAGCTGGATTTATTTAACCAGCTGCACAATTCACTTAACAATTGCAGTGTTGGCTCACATTGCCTTGTTTAGCAATGAACATTCTGGGCCTAAATGTGGTTGTAAGTGGAGGACCACCTGTATGGCCGAGGGCCCTCGGAAGATTGTTTTAAAGGGTGGCATACAAAACTATAATATAAAGTACCGTATATGCCGGCGTACAAAGCGACCCGGCGTATAAGACGATCCCCGTCTTTATCGCCGGGTCGCATTCCTAGAACGTCGTCTTATACGCCGGAAACTACCAGTATTTCCGGCGGATAAGACGACCCCCGTCTTTGGCGCCAATTTTAGCACTCGCGGAAGTCGCCTTATACGCCGGCATATACGGTACCATTTTTATAAACTTATTACTAGAGTCGTTTCTTAGATCCACAAAGCTTACACGGGCCCTCAGCTTGCAACCACAACTGAGCCTAAAATTTCTGTTGTTAAGCGAGTCAGTTGCTAAGTGAGTTTTACCCCCTTGTGTGACTTTCTTTGGCCACCGTTGTTAAGTGAACCAGTGCAGTTATTAAGTTAGTAATACGGCTGCAATCTGGCTTCTTCCCCTTCGACTTTGCTTGTCAAATGGCCGCAAAAGGGGGATCACGTGACTCGGGGACACTCGGGCAGCCGTCATAAATGCGAGCCAGTTGCCAGGCATCCAAATTTTGATTGCATCCCCACGAGGATGCTGCAATGGTCATAACTGTGAAAAACGGTCACAAGTCACTTTTTTCCCAGTGCCGTTGTAATGTCGAACAGCATTCTTGACACGGGCCCCGTTTCCCAGGCTTCAATCTTTTCCCTGGCTATCTTTGTATCTGCTCAGCCAACAATCTTAGTTGCTGTGAAAGGATAGATGGGGGTCCAGCACGAGTCCGAAAGCTCGGAAGAGCAAATATCTCCTACCGGTGACCGACCCAAATTCGATTTTGCTTCATTATCCTGGGACCCGTCTCTTGTCCTTCATTCGTGCTCATGCAAATAACACAGATTTAAAGATTCTGAACCTGTCTCTTATCTGCTCCTCCCATGTCGCATGTTGAGTTTGACAACAACTCAAGGAGTGGGAGAAGAGAGACAGCTGGGATTGCTCCGAGGGGGGGAAAGGACAATTTTAAAGTCATTTTGCATTGCACAGTGCCTGTCAGCAATCAATTCCCATCCCCAGTCATTAACATCCTCCCTATGGTGTGACAGCCTGTAATTAGGGGAAAAATGTCAAAGATCAGCTTGTCTTAATGTGAAAACTGTGACCTTGTTGATGAGGCAGCTGAAGGCAGATGGCCGATTGCTTCTACTGTAAGACAAATAATATATTTTTTTAAGTGCCATGAGTTGGCTGGTTTTGTGGGAGGCACACATATTTTGTACAATTATTCATCTCATCACGAAGCTGGGGGGAAAAGGCCGAGGGAGAAACAGTGGGGGAATCACTTTCTGCATTCTGTATCTCTGAATTTATGGTGATTTCATAGAGCTATAAACTCACAACCATTCAGGAGAAGATACGAAATTGGATTAGCTTGCTTTTGGAGTGATTGAAATCTACAAGTTTTACGCCATCATCCAACCAACGCAAGAGGTGCGATAGTTAGGAAAATGGCTATGTAAAATATTACGAGGACTCCTCGTTGATTTAAAAAAAAAGGGCTAAGCGTAGAAAAGCATAGCGTTTTATAGAAAGTACATTTTGCAGCTGTAGCACTTGCAGAATTTCAAGGGCTGCTTCTCACAAGAAATAGTTCGAAGCGGGTGCAGATTTGCGTGACTTTAGAAATTAGATCCAGCTAAATGAGACTATTTCTGAATGTTACTTGTTTAGAAACAAATAACACCACCTATGTTTTTAAGCATCTCCTATCCAGTCCTTGAAACAGGGTTCGATAGACGTGGTCTGCCGTTCACGAAGCTCACCTCCAAATTTAGAATATAGAACATAAAACTGAGGGAAGTTAGCCCCCCAGAAGGAAATATTAAAAAGGAAAATATATTTTTCCTCAAGGATTTTTTTAAAAGGATTTTTTGAAAAGCAGAAACCAAATCTGGCCCCAAATTTCTTTGTCCCAAGCAAGAGCTAGCCTCATACAAATGCAAATGGAAAACCATCAGGAAGGTTGGAGCCAGGGAACTCAAGACAAAGAAACTCTTAAGAGTCATTAGCCCAGCTCCAGGGAAGCAGGAGATGACTTTTGGGATATAATAGGACTAACCCATTACCATCAAGTATACCATAGAGGCACACCTAAACTCAGGTCAGAATACGTGACACAGGAAATAGCCTCAAAGTTCAGGACACAGGAACAGGAAACTATTCCAAACAAAAGGCTAGAAGGGGGTATAAAAACCTACTACACCATGTGCTCAGCCCTTCTCTCCTCTGCTCTTTCCTGAAGAACCATCTTTCTGCAATAAACTGTAACCTTCTCCCCAAAGCAGTTGCCATGTTTGCTTATTTATTCCCGGCTTGGATGAACCAGGATGAAGACTTTACTTCTAACAGAACAATAGGGTTAGATGTCTTCTAATCTAGTGGTTCTCAACCTTTAGTCCCGGGGGGGGGGGGGGCTGAAATGTTGTCAAGGGAGTCCGCAAAGGCTTGAAGAATGTTTTAAATCTTGGGGGGGGGTCTGTGCCCATGGTCCCTGGCCACAAAAGCTCTTTAAAAGGAGGTTCCATGCTGAAGAAGAGGTTGAGAACCACTGTTCTAGTCCGATCCTTTGCTCAAGCAGGAGACCCTGTGCTATTCCAGTCAAGTGGCTGTCCAGTGTCTTCTTGAAAATTCAATTTTCAAAATTTAATTGCGGGTGAGAGAGCTGCCTTGGCATGTGTTGCTTAGACCTGGCTGGGCACATGGTGGATGGGCGGCCAGAAAGCTTCAGATTGACACCAGCCACCACCCTAGCAGTGGAATGCCATTGTTCTGGAGACTGAGGATTGTTAGGGTGCTGCCCCACAGGTATGAGTGAGCGTGAGATTGGGTCTTAGAGGTCAGTTGGGATTCCCGCTACTGTACAAACCTCACTTTTGGGTACTGGCTTCCTTCAGCTTCCCTGTCACATCTGTTTAATGCCATATTTGGGTTGAGCTTAGGGTTCTGGGGGGCTTCAGCCCGCTTTCCCTGGCTCTGGGCTTGAAGGCAGTGTAGAAATTCATGGCTGCCATGATGACTCAGCTTAAGTGGATGGGAGGGTTGCACCTGCCTGGGTTTCTGGCCAGTCGTAATGTGATCTAGAATTGGAGGATATTATCATAAACCCTTGTCTAGTAGTACTCCATAGTACTTCCTGTTGACCGCCTGGAGCTTACTACTGCATGCTCACACTCCACAGAAGAGCTAGATCTACTCATGGGGCCTTCCATGGACCCAAGCTGGGTTTCAGAGGGAGCTTGTTCTTGTGGCTTGGTTCATGGTTGTGCATGAGATAGATCTTGGATGCTTGGAACGAAGCAACAGCGACTTTAGATCTGATGGGGTCTAAGGTGGACTCTCACCGTCTGCAGACCTTGGAGTGCCCCGTGATTTACCAAGGACCTCTGGAGGATGAAGCAACGCAAAAGACACCTGTGGTGCTGCTGGAGCAAACATAACTGGACAGAAGACCTTTATTAGGATTTACCTTGTAGCACGGAAAGTAGCAAATTGTGCTTATTTCATGCCCTTACTGCTTATTGTGCTCTGAGTTCGTGGAAACCTAATTTCTCCTGGAAAATACATGCAAGGTCATTGTGAAGACTGTTCTCGGCACCTAATGGGTAAAATGGCTCTTAGCTACACTCCAGCTGAGTCGCTCAACAATTTGGAGATTCACAGAAGGAATAGTTTGAACATGAGGTGAATCTTACACAGATTGTAGCCTGCTTGGAAAAATGTGGGATTATTGCATCTGATCTTTGAACGAAATAGTCCTTGTCTTTGAAATAATACTGGTAGTTGACTTGTTTTTATGACCCATCCCTGCTTTCTTTGCTCTTAGGTGAAAAATGACTATATGCTAGAGATAGCAGATCAGGTGGACCAGGAAATTGCCTTGAAGCTAGGATGCCTTGAAATCCGGTAAGACCACCTTTTAAATTGTTGTTGTTGTTAATTGCGAAGTCATGTCCGACCCATCGCGACCCCATGGACAACGTTCCTCCAGGTCTTCCTGTCCTCTACCATCTTCTGGAGTCCATTGAAGCTCCCGCCTACTGCTTCAGTGATTCCATCCAGCCACCTCATTCTCTGTCATCCCTTCTGTTGCCCTCAATCTTTCCCAGCATTAGGTTACTAAACAGAACAACTTACTTTAATCTCAGTGTCCTAATCAATAAGTAGAATCTTTGAAATTTATTGTAGGAGAAACAGTAGAATTTTAAAATGTGGACACTTTTATTATGAAAACAATGTTATGCTCTATCTGTTCCATTCCAACCTAGAATTAAGTAGCTTTTTAGCTAAGCCAGTGGTTCTCAACCTATGGGTCGGGACCCCATTTGGGGTCGAATGACCATTTCATGGGGGTCGCCAAACAACGCAGTCTGCCATTTTTCCCCCCTTTTCCTTCGCTGTGCTACTCCCTTTTATTCTATTGGCTTTTGAAAGCCAATAGAATAGACTCTCTTGAATAGAGTCCAATTCTATTGGCTTTCAAAAGCCAATAGGAATTGTCCAGGCTGTCTCTGTCCTACTGAGCCCGCCAAAAGACCCAGTCTGCAAACGGTGCTGCACCAGTTGAGTAGTCCTCGACTTACGACCGGTTGGGGGTCGCGGCATTAAAAAGGTTAAGAACCACTGAGCTAAGCAGTTAATTTCTGGTTTGAAAGTCACGTTAAAACAGCCACATTGTGAGTTGACTCTAATTTGTGAATGGTAAAGATTCTGGCTAATCTTTAACTAATAATTTGTTTCTACCTCCTGCAGTAACGTCTGGCCTAATGTTTCATAATTGTTGAAAGAAATATTTTTGCAGAGCAAAAGACTAGGAAAAGCAAATTCAGGAACATTTGAAATTGCTTATTGCTAGGAATAGAATCCTTCTGGACCTAAGAAAAATTGGTCAATTGTTTGACATGAAGGACTTTTCTAAAAAGGAGGGATTTTTGAACTTCATAGTTTTTTTTTTCTATCACCTTTCCAGGCTTAAGCTCAGCAAAAGAGATTTTGTGGTACCCTACTACTGTGCAGTGAATTACTAAAGCTGTCAAGTTGTAGATTGAAAGGCCACCACTTAATAGGAAAATTAAGGATCCTTTTGTGTAAAGGATCTTAATGCATCTCACTTCCTGGTTGGGTTGGAGGAAATTTTAGATTGAGGGTTCTAGACAACAGTTGTTATTCATACATTTTACCAATTTTAAAACCTTACACACATCACTCTTCAGTTGTAATACTAGGATGCTGAGTAGAACTTGGGGTTTAAGTAACCTATCCCCAACTTTCAAATCTAAATAAACAAAAGCATAAAAAGAAAACAAAGTTAGTAAGTTCCCAAATAGTATAAGAGCAAATTTTAGAATCCCTAAAGCATTATGTTCATTGTTCATTATCTTGTAGTTTACACCGTTGTGTTAATTCTTCAGCTGTCTTGTATAATAAGGCTAGGAAAGCAGCAATCGATATGAAATTAGTAATAAATCAAGCAACAGAAAAATTAGGATAGGAAGGGGAGACCAAATTGCAATTTTGAGTTCAAGTCTCAGCATAATGGTGCTTTCCGAGAATAGTAACGTTGCTAGTGAGTAGTAATGGGAATGATTAAAACTGAATTTTTAAAGGGGGTATACAGATGAAGGTCTAGGGAAGACTGTAGCTGATGACCCAAAATTTCATCTCTTAAAATCCTTCAGTCTGCTCTCCCCAGAAGTTGTTGAGCATTTTAGAAGAACCTTTTCTGCCAAAACTAGAACAGAGCTTGGCTGTGTGGACAGAGGAGCAGCAGCAGAATGTAGGAATTGGATGAAATAAGCTCTAAAATTCTTTACACCTGGCCAGAGCTAGTTTAATAGGAAGTATAAATTGTCAATGAGATTTACTACAGCAGAACTCAGCATAATTAGAGACTGTAACTTTAAGAGTATAGGACCACCACTTTTGCTTCTTTTCCACAATGAATATTTCATAACACCTAAAATATGTCAGTTAAGTGACATCTGCATCCCTTATCCTTTTAGATTGCTGCTTGACAGGTCCATCACATCGCTCATTATCAATCACCCATCACTTTAAAAACATTAGAGTGGATATCCATAATCTGACATCACAAGAGAGGACCGGAATTCATTCTGAGTTTTATATTTCTACATGTACTACAGCTGTAATTTTATATCTCTACATAAATCACAGCTATAATTTATAATTTTAGATGTTAAACTTTTGAACATTTTCCTTCAGTCACTGGGATGTGAAATACATCTCCAGTTTGACGTTCAGAAATCTGCATAAAGTTTTAAAAACTTTATAATGATTGATTTCCTGTATGTTTAGTCCAGTGTTTCCCAAACTTGACAATTTTAAGGCATGTGGACTTCAACTCCCAGAATTCCACAGCCAGCAATGCTGGCTGTGGAATTCTGGGAGTTGAAGTCCACATGCCTTAAAATTGTCAAGTTTGGGAAACACTGGTTTAGTCCAACAATTGTGTGTGTGTGAGTGTGTGTGTCCTGTTAGGCATGTTTCTGAGTGTTCCCAATCATCTGTGCTTCAGTTTGCCCAGGTAAGTAAATAAATACATTTATATCCTAGCTTTATAATAATACTTAAGCACTCAAGGCAGCTTTCAGTAATAATAGATAAAAGCCGAAACATAATTGAAATCAGATTTGAAATCAAGACAGTTCAGCTTAACATTTAAGAGCACTGCCCTTTTTTTTTATAATTTCAGGAGATCATACTGCGAAATGAGAGGCAACGCACTGGATAAAAAGTCCAACTACGAAGTCTTAGAGTAAGTATGTGGTTTGCAGTTTTGTTAGGACACTCAGATTCTTTCCATTAGAAGGAACACAATTGTTGCTTTTGGAAGTAAGAATGCAAAGGTTGTCATTATTGTTCTAATTAAGGTACGATGAGAATTTGTAAAAAAACGAGTGAATTTTTGACCTCTGAGCTTACTTGAGGAAATGAGAGCTCATTGAATCTGGCTTGACCGAGACAAATTGAGTGATTCATGGTCTGAATCTGCTGATACACAAGATCATTCCCCCCCCTTTTTGGGGAGGGTGGGGTCATCTGCATTCTGTTAACACGTGTGGGATCAGCTGGTTAGAAGCCCTTTTCACAAAATGGTTTTTTCGGTATATGATTTTCGCCACGTGATTAATCAGTCACGGGACTAAATGATGCTGAGTTTTTAATTATTTATTAGCTCCTGGAAATGTACAGTCTATGGTTTATTTATTTATTTATTTATTTATTTATTTATTTATTTATGAGGCTTATATACCGCTTTAAGTGCAAGCACTTTCTAAGCGGTGTACACCAGTAAGCAATGTATGTATGTATGTATGTATGTGTGTGTGTATATATATATATATATATATATATATATATATATATATATATATATATATATATATAATATATATATATATATATATATATATATGTATATTTACATTGCGCCCAACAATCTGGGTCCTCATTTTACCTACCCCGGAAGGATGGAAGGCTGAGTCAACCTTGAGCCGGTGAGATTTGAACCGCTGACCTGCTGAACAGTCAGCTAAAGTGGCCTGCAATACTGCACTCTAACTGCTGCGCCCCCTCTCTAACCCAGTGGTTCTCAACCTGTGGGTCGGGACCCCATTTGGGGTCGAACGACCATTTCACGGGGGTTGCCAAACAACGCAGTCCGCCATTTTTTTCCCCCTTTTCCTTAGCTGTGCTACTCCCTTTTATTCTATTGGCTTTTGAAAGCCAATAGAATAGACTCTCTCGAATAGAGTCTAATTCTATTGGCTTTCAAAAGCCAATAGGAATTGTCCAGGCTGTCTCTGCCCTGCTGAGCCCACCAAAAGTCCCATTCTGCAAACGGTGCTGCACCAGTTGAGTAGTCCTCGACTTAACGACCGGTTGAGTAGTCCTCGACTTACGGCCGGTTGGGGGTCGCGACATTAAAAAGGTTGAGAACCATTGCTCTAACCTAACCTAGAATGCAGTTAGCAGAACAAATTGCCCAGTGTGGATTTAAAAAGTCGTTGACATGGGCTGCAGAGGGAGTTCTAACCAAATTTCACCAAAGGTCTTGAAGAGCTTTGCATCCAGTCCCACCAAAAAAAAAAAAAAAAAAAAAAAGGAGCTGTTTTGCTGTGGCCATTAAAGAGTGGTTTTCTTTTCATGGATTGGTACCCTCACAAGGTTCCCTGGAATTTAAAAGGACTCATTGCTCAAGCTTTTGTGACGAGCAGGAAATCATACATCATGACTGCATTTATAACTTCAAGGGAAACTTTGGGGGTCTATTACAGTGATGGCGAACCTTTTAGAGACCGAGTGCCCAGATTGCAACCTAAAACCCACTTATGCATCATCGAGTGCCGGGTGGGTGTGGCCAATTGGGTGGGTGTGGCCAATTGGGTGGGCATGGCCAATTGGGTGGGCGTGGCTGTGGTGGTAATGACAGAGAGGGTGGGACTAAAAAGTTCAATCAATCAATTCCAACTTTACAAGAACTTTTTTTTCCCCGCGAGAAGTTGAAATTGACTGACTGAATCTTTTTTTTTTGTACACGGCGGCGGAGGCCTAAAGCGAAAAGGTTTTATAAAACCCAGCTGAAGGCCTAGGACTGGGATGACTGTGCGGGAGCCCACAGAGAGGGCTCTGAGTGCCGCCTCTGCCACCCGTGCCATACGTTCGCCACCACTGGTCTATTACAAAGAATCACCACTAGTCAGGTGATCCAGATCGTTAAATAGGGACAGGAGAGAGTAAAGTCATATATTTTGTAAGAGATGTAAGGCTGGAATGACTTGGCCCTGATTGACTGGCTTAGAGAAGGGCTGGTTATAGATCTAGGAGATGAGCTGGGAAGGCAATGCACGCCCCAAGTTTTTTGGGGGGGAAAATAACAATGTTTTTTTAAAAATGAATTTGATTGACTATTGGCATCTGTATTTGTATTCTAGCACAATTCTTCTAAAATATAGTGTATTATTATTTCACATGGTTAAAACGCACAACATTTTTCATGTTTATTTCAGGAAAGATGTCGGTTTAAGAAGATTTTTTCCAAAGAGTTTACTGGATTCAGTAAAGGTAATGTTGCATTCTGCTCATACATTACTGGACCCTATGTTTTGGTCATTCTATTTTTGGCTCTTTTCAAGTATGCATTTTATTTCATTCAGATAGATAGATAGATAGATAGATAGATAGATAGATAGATAGATAGATAGATAGATAGATAGATAGATATAGATATAGATATAGATATAGATTTGAGAAATGGCATATATATATATACATATGTATGTATGTATGCATGTATGTATGTATGTATGTATATATATGCCATTTCTCAAAAAAGAGAAATGACTTTTCTAATGACCTGTAAAATCTCCAAACTGGAACCAAACATATATGCTATTGTATCAGGTGCTTTCTATTCATTCCTGGGCTAGGTGGAACCACGTTGTTACTATGTGGCTTCGATGTGGTGCATACCATACTAACATCTGTCTATTTCATTATCAAGGCCAAAAATCTACGAAAAATGATACAGCAAACGTTTCGACAATTTGCCAACCTCAATAGAGAAGAAAGTATTTTGAAATTCTTTGAGATTCTCTCACCAGTATACCGATTCGATAAGGAATGCTTCAAGTGTGCCCTTGGAGTAAGTATGGTGCTTTCAACTCCTTGGACACCGCGCAGAATAATTATTCTAATTTTAATGTTGAGTTTAGCACTTTATTGTTAGCGTAACTAGACAGAAGACCGATGGGCTTTTGCTTAAGATGCTACTACATTTTCTTTAAGTGTGGATGATGAGTATGCTATTTATTTTTAAACCATTTAATTCTTCTACGTTTCTGACAGACTGAGAGTTTAGGAACTGCTAATTAGATTAAAGAACTGCAAGGTTATGGAAATGTGGAATTATTTTAAAATGCAATTTAAAGGCTAGCTAGGGTAGTAGTAGTGGAAAATAGGTAACTGTGTCTCACCTGCTCCCTACTGTTGGGCTTGGAGAAAGGATTTAATTTTGAAAAAAATGTGCGATGGCCAATAACACGTGTGGCACGAGGGTTACAGTGACCACTGAAGCATTTATGCCTTCTGCTTTTAAAATGGGGTAACTCTTGAAGGTGTTGGGAGTTATAGCATAGGAATATTTATTTTATTAAAATTATTTATATCATTGCCCATCTTACTGTAGTGGGTCTGGGTGGGTTACAAGGATTAAAATACAAACCACAACATATAACCCGTGGTGCCCAAGGTTAAAACAACAATCCTAGAGACTAAAAAATACATCATCTTCAGCAGAGCTCCTTAACACCAAATGCATTATGAAATCAGTTCTTCGGTCTCTTCTGAAAGGCTAACACAGTGTTCTCAAACTCTTGAATAGAGTTTAATTCTATTGGCTTTCAAAAGCCAATAGGAATTGTCCAGGCTGTCTCTGCCCTGCTGAGCCCGCCAAAAGTCCCATTCTCCAAACGGTGCTGCACCAGTTGAGTAGTCCTCAACTTACGACCGGTTGGGGGTCGCGGCATTAAAAAGTTTGAGAACCACTGGGCTAACATAAGTGTATTCTGTTAAGGTTTATCCAGTGTTTGAAGTGTAATGTATTAGTCAAGTATCAGTTTGTTTAATTGGGTGATAAAGATCTTTATTCAATGTTCAAACGTTTTCTTCCCAAACGTTCACCGCTTCTTTTCCATATTAACCATAAAAGTCCAGCTGGATTATTTCAGTGGAATTGGCCATCGGTCCAGAAGAAGGAATCAGCTACCTTACGGACAAAGGATCCAATGTAAGTCCTACAGTGGGTTATGATGAATTCACATCTGAGCAAATTTTCAACTTTGCCGTTACTTTCTGTGGGAACTGGGCCAGTATTATTAAGGAAGCTTTTTTTTTTTTTTAGCAGAATACATAGACCTAAGAAAGGAAACCGAATGATACTGCTTTTTCTCCTTAATTCATAAGCGTTTCTCATTCAGTATGATTTTTAGCTTTACTTCTAATTTACTGTCAGTTGTTTTACAGTTAATGCATTTTCGCACTTTCAGTACATTTTTGTTTTTCATCTTGCTTGAGAGGTTGGATTTTTATTTTACGGGGATTTTTTTTTTTTTTTTTTGTAAACGTATTACTTAGATTTAAGGCAGTTTATGTGCTGGAAGCGAAGCAACTCCCAGAATTGGAAGAACACAAGGTAGTGATCAGACAAGGAGACCCAAACTCATTGGCAGCCTCACCTTGCAATGAACACAAAGACATATACATTCAATTTTGCTGCTGTTAGGATTGTCGGATGAGCAGGCACAAAAACAGCCAGGGTTTGAAGCCTGGGAAATGAGCCCTTGTCAGTCAACAGGATGCACCCCCAAGTTTATCAATTATTTGGCAGCATAAGGAAATAACAGCCAATGACTTAATAGCCAGCCAGCAACAACCCAATCTACATCTAAAAAGCCACATACAACAGGCACCATATAAATACTTCACACATAACTGCTCAAAACACACATTCAGTTAGAGAGAAGATCCCTGAAGATGGGCTCCAAGCACGAGTCCGAAAGCTCGGAAGAACAAAACTTTGGTCCCGGTGACCGATCCTGCAGCATTATCCTGGGACACCTATATCCGCCTTCATTTGTCAAAACCCAAAATGCATTATTCATATTCCCATGGTAGGTTTACAGTCAGTTTTCATGTGGGCTCTGGGCCAACATTACCCTCACTAAACAGCCAATTGATCAGGCAAATTATTGCCAACTATTAATTGTCTCTTTTGCCCCTTCAGTAGGATGTAATATGGACACGGGGCATGAATAACAGTGAAAGCTAGTAAAACCACAGGAATGCTCAGAAAAATAGGATTTATTTGCACGTCCCGTGTTTTGTATCTGGTGGTGTTTCTGCCCGGGCTGGTTCTTCCTCCCCATATTTTCCTTCTGTTTTTCTCTAGCCCACCCATTTGGCAGATTTCCATCAAGTGCAGACCATCCAGTATTCAACTAATGAAGACAAGGACCGAAAAGGAATGCTCCAGATGAAAATTGCCGGAGCGCCAGAAGTAAGTCTGTGGATGCTTCTTCTGGGCAGGCAGAAAGAGCAAGCAAATTCCTTCTGCGTGTTTTTATGAATAAAGGTCGGTGTGGATGTCCCCATTTTGTACTATAAAAACGTACGGGATAAATAGATTATCTGTCTGTCTGTCTATCTATCTATCTATCTATCTATCTATCTATCTATCTATCTATCTATCTATCTATCTATCTATCTATCTAATGTGCAGGTCTTGGCATATTCGGGTCTTTTCCCGTGTAAGATTGAGAGTCTGTCTGTCTGTCTGTGTTTTCATAGATTTTCACGGGTACAGGTATGCAGGTCTTGGCGTATTTGGGTCTTTTCCCATGTAAGATTGAGAGTATCTTGGTGACGTTTTGACGGGGTCCCACTCGTCATCTTCAGGCTGGGGTCTTTGGCTTCGTGCTTGTGTGAGCAAAGTGTGATCGGAGCTGCCGTCTCTCTATGTGTATTAGTGGGTGTGTGTGGAGTGCTGGCTTAGTTGCTGTAAGTGGGTTGGTTGGCTGTGTTGGAGTTATTGTTTGCGGATTGTTCGGCTGTTTCGTAACATCCTGAGTGGCTGAGGTGCTGGCTGTATATATATATAAAATAATCTAAGAGACTTCTTTATCCAGAGACAAAAATATTCCTGCTCTTTAACTATGAAAGATGTTATATAGTAATTTCCTAATTAAGGTTTTATATTTACTGGAGAACAGGATCAAAACCATAGAAATACCGTCAGAATAAGTGGCTTACACACCTCTACTGACCATTGGTGCTATTGATTTTTACGATCATTTGGGATGATGCATGGAATTTAAAACAGTACTGTGCCCCTTTTGGGTACTCGTCAATACATTCTTTTTCACAGAAGTTGCCTTGAAGACAAAACTGGTAACTGATAAAACAGTGGAACTCGGGAGTTAATTTGCCTGCTTTAGCTTTATGCCTGATGTCATCAGTAAGTGAATAAAAATGGCAGGGAAGAAGCAGAAAAGAACGTTATTTGAGAACTAGGCTGTGATATTGTTTAAAACGTGGGTGGATATTCCTGATTTGGAGGATTTTGCTTCTGTCCCGAACTACACAGCATTGATGGAACAGCCCAGGAAAAAGCTATCCTTCATTTAAGGCTGCCCTCTCCTTAGTTGCTGCCATAAGCGTCCCTTCATCATTTTTATTTACGTTTGGAAATGATCCAGCTGGAACAAGCTCTGAAATTGACTTTACCTCCCTTCCTTGGTCTCTTTTCTCAGGTTCTCCCCATAAGAGCAGTGATTGGGCTTCTTGTTAGTTTACAATAACAGCAACCCTCGGGGAAGGGCCTTTTCTGTGGTGGCTCCGACCTGGTGGAATCAACTTCCCCCCAAGATTCGAACTACCGTATATGCCGCCGTATTAGGCGACCTGGCGTATAAGACGACCCCCGTCTTTATAGCCGGGCCGCATTCCTAGAACGTCGTCTTATACGCCGGAAACTACCAGTATTTCCGGCGTATAAGACGACTCGGTGTATAAGACGTCCCCCGTCTTTGGCGCCGATTTCAGCGCTCGTGGAAGTCGTCTTATACGCCGGCATTTACGGTACTCCCACCTTGCTGGCCTTTAAGAAAGCCATTAAAACTCTCCTGTTCCGGCAGGCCTGGGGTTGATGTACCCAGGGGGGGGCAGGATACGATTGGGACATGCTGTATGAACGCACTTATTTTACTGTTTATTGTTATATTTATTGTTTTCATTTTGTACGCCGCCCTGAGTCCCTAGGGATTGGGCGGCATATAAATTTTATAAATAAATAAAATAAACCAATCAAGTTTGCCAAGACTATAAAAGACTATTTCTCGATGTCTTTTACCACATCAACATGGTTGGAATATCATAGAGTAGAGAGCGGTGCCTTGGTACTCAACTGCTTTAAAACTCATTAAACATTTTGATGCCAACATTTTGTCCCAGTATTCATCGTTTTGTTTGATACTCAAGATAGAACGTGTCGATGTCAGCTGCCTTGTGACTCATTACGTTATTCCTTATGGGATAAATTGCAGCAGGGCAGGCAGCGCAGTTTGAGTTGCAGCACCCGTATTACGGGGTAGCCCACCTCTTGATAATTAAGCTAAGGTGGGATTTCTGGCCCTAGGAAGCTAACGAAAAACTGAACTGTCCCGGAAGGCATTGGAACTTGTTACTTTCATCTGTTTGATTTTTTGTTTTATGCTGCTTTTAAATTTTGATGTCAACCAGCCTTGGAGTGATTTTTTGAAATCAGGAAGAACAAAAAGTAGAATTGGTAATTAGTTGGATACATGAAGATTAATTTTGAAACGTGTAGAGTCTGCTATATTTTTTCTATCCTGCTCTATGGAGTAGAGAGTTGGTCTCTGACAGAAGGCCACCTGAAGAGACTAGAAGCATTTGAAATGTGGATTTACAGGTGGCTGTTACGTAGAAGCTGGGTTGACAAGATCAGAAATGAGGAGGCGATAAGCCGCCTGGGAAAGCCGAGGGAAATCATCAAAACAATTAAAAAACAAAAATTAGAATATTTCGGACATGTGATGCGATACCCAGAAAAATACGGCATACTCCATTGAATCCTCCAGGGAAAGATTGAAGGCAAACGAGGTCCAGGCAGAAGAAGAACATCGTGGCTTCAAAGTCTAAGGGACTAGTTTGGACAAAACTCAGCAGCACTTTTTCATGCGGCTGCTGATAAAAACAGGATCGCCAACATGATCGCCAACGTCCGATAACGGATATGGCACAAGAAGAAGAAGAAGTAGAGTCTGTGAATGCATCCACGCATAGAAGTCCTCTCATATACCTGGAAGGCTTATTCTGTTCCCAGAACAAAATTATCATGCTTCTGTTAGCATCAGCACCAGTCTCGGTGGTCACACTTTTCATACGTTATGTGCTCGTTGGGAGTTCCTCCAGATGGAGAAATTTAAGGCATAAGAACTGGCGATTTTTTTTCCCAGCCCTCCGAGTACTTTTTTCTCTTTACTGCCTCTCATTTGCGTGCTCTTCTCTGATGTAATAGTTCAGCAGCTGTGCTAAATGTTTGTGTCTGCAATAAGGCCTCTTTGTTCAGTGCACTATTTTTTTCCCTCCCTCTCTCTCTTGTAGCCTCTGACAGTGACAGCACCATCCTTAACCATTGCAGAGAACATGGCTGACTTGATAGACGGCTATTGCCGACTGGTCACGGGGGCGACCCAGTCTTTTATTATCCGAACCCAGAAAGGTAAGAGAAAACATTTTGTGTGAGTGTTTTTGTTGTGGTCATTTTTTTGTGATGCCCTATAACTGAGAAGAAATTAATGGCAGCACCTCTGCATGGGTAACTGATCAGATATATCAGGAGATGAAAGTCAGCAGGATTCTGGTAACGTGTCTTCAGATTTGCAAATTTTATTAAAAAGGTACAGATTTTCCTAAAGTACAGCTTGCTTCTTTGGATGCATAACCTAAGCTTGTGGGTTATTTTAAATAACATTTGATAGTGTAAAAAAGTGTGACCAGGGTCCTGATCGTTGACTAACATAGCAGTTCTCTTACAATATAACTAGATAAAAACACATACAATTTCTGCAAGAGACTATATAAAGACAAAGTAAAGCAGCTATTCCAGTAGTTACGGTAATACCGTAATTCTGTAAATGATAACACTTACGTGTCACTCGCTTATTGAATAACAATTGGTGCCCACAATTCTCTTTTTTTCTGCCCATGATTTGTCTATTTCTTGTTTAGTTCATAGTTTTGTTTGGGTCTGTAATTGTGTGGGAAATTCTCTTCTTGACACTGACATTAACTGCTCAGATATAATTTTGTTTATGTTTGTATGTGAATCTCCTCCTCCAGAGAGTTAGTGAAGTGTTCTTGATTCTTCTGTCCCCATCACAGAGACCATGGGGAAGGAATTAGGCTGAGATGTATTGATTGCTCCAAATTGCCCATATGTGAAAAGGGATTCTAATTTTAATCCTGTTGTTAGAAATCCAACCTTGCTATTATTAAAAATTATAGCAGCAGAAATAAAAACGGGTACAAGCTAATAAAAGAATAAATGTAAAACTAGAAAGTGCAGAAAAAAATAGGAAAGAAAGGAAAAGAATAAAGAAAAAGAAAAATATATAAAGAAATGACTTTCCCCTCCATCACAATAACTATAAACAATTTCAGTGACTTATGTATGTATTTATTAATATGGGGCAATAAACATGTTTTTTTTTTCCTCTTCGTTTAGAAGGCGAAAGAGCTTTACCATCCATACCAAAGTAAGTTTGAATGTTTTTGTTGGAAGTTTAAAGCATTAAACTGAATACATTATTATGTTGATTTATACTCTGAAGTCTCCAATTTGTAAGCAGTTGCAAATGTTGAGCATAAGGGAAGGCCCATACCTAGTTCAGTGTGTAAGAATGAAGACTTTGCACACAGAGAACTTTGCATCCAGACCTCAGTTTCTATTGCTAAAAGGATTTTGGTAACATAGCTTGATTTTGCCTTTTGCTTCAGAACCCAAGAGAACCAGTTTTAGATAGGGGGTAATACTAAAAAATAAAATAAAAATGGAAATATAAGAAACGGTTGCAGTATGTGCTACAATTTTTATATTCTCCATTGTTAGGTAAACTACATGTGTGTACAGGTAGTTTTCGACTTAATGACCACAATTGAACCCAACATTTCTGTTGCTAAGTGAAGCATTTGTTAAGTGAGTTTTGCCTCACATGACCCCTGGACACTGCATCTGAATTTTAGTCATGTGACTAAGGGGATGCTGCAATGGTCGCAAGTGTGAAAAACGATCAGAGGTCACTTTTTTCGGGGCCGTTGTAACTTTTGACGGCCATTAAGCGAACTGTTGTAAGTCGAGGATTACCTGTATGGGTTTAATGCCGGCTCATTTTGCCTTCCTTTTGCACTGGAAACCAAAATGAGATCTAATTCAATCATCTGAGGACGCATCTTGCCTCAATGGGATTGGCCCGTCCCACTCACTCCAGCGGAAGAGGCCCACTCCAGACCCCATTTGCCAAAGAAATCTGGGCCCATGATAATGCTTTATGCTTTATGAAGGGGAATATCAGCAGCTCTGGGTTGAAATGATGATGTTAACTAGTTAGGGTAGTAAAACATCTGCAAGAAAACAAGCAAGCTCAGAGAGGACCAAGGACCCCATAGTCGTCGTCATCCTCCTCCTCCTTCTCCTCCTCCTCTCTGCAACTTCCCCTCCCTTCTAGCACTGATGATGTTACCTAGTTAGGTAAAGAAACGTCTGCAAGAAAACAAGCAAGCTCAGAGAGCACCAAGGACCCCACAGTCGTTGTTGTCCTCCTCTTCCTCCTTCACCTCCTCTCTGCAACTTCCCCTCCCTTCTAGCACTGATGATGTTACCTAGTTAGGTAAAGAAACGTCTGTAAGAAAACAAACAAGCTCAGAGAGCACCAAGGCCCTCATTGTCGTCGTTGTCGTCCTCCTCGTCCTCGTCTTCCTCCTCCTCTCTGCAACTTCCCCTCCCTTCTAGCACTGATGTTGTTACCTACTTAGGTAAAGAAACGTCTGCAAGAAAACAAGCAAGCTCAGATAGCACCAAGGACCCCACAGTCGTCGTCGTCCTCCTCCTCCTCCTCCTCCTCCTCCTCCTCCTCCTCCTCTCTGCAACTTCCCCTCCCTTCTAGCACTGATGATGTTACCTAGTTAGGTAAAGAAACGTCTGCAAGAAAACAAGCAAGCTCAGAGAACGCTAAGGACCCCCTCATTTATGCATTATGCTGGGGGGTGGCTGATGGCTAGAGAGAAGATCTCCATGTGTCTTGTCTTCTTGGGTTTTAGTCTTTTATTTAATCTTTTTAAATTCTGTATTCTTTATCTTTTTTATCATTTTGCAAGCCACCCAGAGTTGCTGCAACAGAGAGATGAATGGCATATACACTTAATAGATGCCTACATTATATACCAAATTAAATGTCCATGGTTTTATGTTATCTATTGCCAACATCAGCATCTGATACCTATTGGGCAGCTGGCAGGGCTGAATGTCTGTTGCTGATGCCTACTCTGGAGAATCCGTCCAAGAAATGTAGCCTTGTTTGTGTTTGCTGTACCAACTCAAGAAATTTTTTTAAAAAGGGATGGAAAACTCAGTTAAATTGCTCAGAGGTGATGGAGGTCCATCCCCAAATATCACTGAGTATTCCAGTCTTTTCTTAACTCATAGATTCAGTCTATATTTACTCTTTTGTTTAAACCGAATGGCTGTGTGCAGAGTATATGAGAAGACCAAACAATGAATACATTAAGCAAATGACCAATGCTTGTAGAGTTATATCTGTGATCTATCTTATAGATCACAGCCATCCATTTATAGTCATTTCAGCTAAATACATAGTGCTTTTCTGCAGGCTGATTACAGAATTATATCATGATTTTTGCATATTACATTTTACCAAATTAAATTTGGTTTACTTACAATATAATACACTATATTACAATATAATAGCCATTATCTATTAAAATATGAATGATGTTTTGCTTTTGACACCCTATAGCTACAAACAACGTTATTAGGAGAGAATTTTTTTAAACAATGAAATTACCTTAAAAGTTTGCTAAATTTTTCTGTCCAGTAGTAAAACCATGCTTAAAATAGATAACTCCTCTACATTTAGCTCAGAATATAAAGCTTCCAGATAACGTGTTTAAATTAAAGACAGTGGGTTTTTTTTTACTTCTTAATATAAGTGATGGATGCAATTCCAATTGCTGTTGCTAGATAGTAGATAATTAGAAGAAATTCAAAACTACGAAGTTGTTTGTTGATTCAGCTTTTTAACATTTTGAACATCTGATAGAGTTTAAGATGGGATTTTCCAATGAATTCTTGTACTTTTGGTTCCGAGATGAATTTAAGATAATAGCATCCTTTTCTTCCTTCCAAAGTTTAGCTCTGCAGAAGACACAGTGAATCTGGTAACTAAGTAGATGTCCTCCTGCAATGGACAGTCTCTAGTTTTTTAACTCTATAGAACAATTTCCCCCCAACTGTGGCAATTTGAAGATATGAGAACTTCAACTCCCAGAATTCCCCAATCAGCTGTGCTGCATGGGGGATTCTAGGAGCTGAAGTCCTCCTGTCTTCAAAGTTATTGAAGTTGAAAAACACTAGTATAGAACATAGAGCATTCACAGATTTGAACTATTGTGTTACAGGCTGGCCAACAACGAGAAGCAAGGCATACGGTCACATACGGTATCTGTATCAGGTAGGATATCTGATTATTATTATTATTTAAAAAGAGTTTTACTCGCTTCCTGCCAGCAAACCCTAAGGAGAGGAAAAAGGTTAAGAGTGAGGTTTTGTAAGAAATACACGGCGAGCAAATCTAATTGAAACTTCTTCTAACTAAATGTTGGTATTAAAAGCCAGTAACGGTATTGCATGCTGATTGTTTTCACGTGGGTGAATTTCACAGCTGAGGTATTGGGAGCTCTCACATAGGAGAAGCAGCTGTTAAAAAAAGATTCCAACTTTCATGTTGTTACGAAAAAACATGGTATGTCTGGTTATGTAGGACTAGTGATCGGCGACAGAAGATGATAGACTGTGAAGTAAAGGTTTAAGACTTCATTGCCTGCCATTCAGTTGTCTCGTTGCTCTGAGTCACAGGATTTAGGATCGTTTCGACATAAAATGTAACGTAGGTCTTCGTGACGTGAGAAGCTGCCTAAGCGTCGGTAAATATAACGGCTCGAAAAGAAATTAATAGTTGCTGTTGTATATTGTAGTTCCGCAGAGAGTGTGTTTCAGGTGCAAGAAGTCAGGAAATAGGATAGAGTTACTACAGGTTTATTTCATGCTACCTATCCACAAGAATCTGCACTATTAATGGTCGGGGGGGGGCTGGACTTAGAACTCTTAACGGGTGCAGGGACTCCAGACTGATGATGCATTTGACCCCATCCTCAGGCTTGGCCTGGGTATCTCCTACATTACAAGACACTGGACCAGGGGTAGGCAACCTTGGCTCTTTTATGACTCGTGGACTTCAACTCCCAGAATTCCTGAGCCAGCCATGCTGAGGGGAAAGGGAGAGGTTTCCAAGCTGAGCCATGCTGGCTCAGGAATTCTGGGAGTTGAAGTCCACGAGTCATAAAAGAGCCAAGGTTGTCTACCCCTGTCCTAGTGCAACACCATTATTTACTGAACCACTCTAGTCTTTTCCCTTTCTATTCAATGGTCCTTCTCCCCCAGAAAACCAGTGAAAGGGAAGGGGGAAAAAATGACTTTCCAGCCTCTTATTAAAGCCCCATCTCGGTTATGAATAAAGTTGTATGCCAGGGGGTCTTCAAACATGGCCCTTTTATGACTTGTGGACTTCAACTCCCAGAATTCCTCAGCCAGGCACCCGTGCCTGGCTGAGAAATTCTGGGAGTTGAAGTCCACAAGTCATAAAAGGGCCAAGTTTGAAGACCCCTGTTGTATGCAAACTGTAGTTCATCCTCCGATGATTAGAGACCATTGGGAAGCCGATATAAATGGAGATGCCTTCTACATTCAATGGCTCTTTATGAACCGCTATTGTTTGAAGCTGCTAACAAATGTGATTGTTTAAGGTAGATTAATGGCACTATGTCTGAACGATTTCAGCTGTGACTTAGAGTTGACAAGCCAACGTTCTGTTGTTTTCTTCTATAAATGATTTATATTTTATTTATGGCTACCTGCCTATTGATCTGCCCCTCTTTTCCCACAATTAGAATCCAAGAATCGGGATCTTAAGAGATCGTTAGTCCCAATCCCATGCCAGCGCAGGGATCTTCCGAACCCTCCGTGGCAGGTAGCCAACCAACATCTAGCGCTCCGATTCAATGGGCAAATATTATAGACCAAGAAGTGTTTGGTTTCAAAGATCTAATTGCGGGCTTCATCAATTGAAATCAAATGGAAGGGTTTGGTTGTAGAACTTGGCAACAACAATAGGTTTTATGGCACGTTCTAAGTGAAAGTTGCAAGCATATAAGTTTGGACATGAGTTGATTTCTTTGGCAGAATGTGACTGTAGCATCATGGGGCATTTTCCTAGCAGTTCACAAAGTAATAAACTGAACCAGGCTCAAATGAAAGGTGTGGATTAAATTTATCATGCTGTTATTTCTGTCAGTCCAGATAGTGGACATCTTATCAATCAGGCAGAGAGAAGTTTATTTATTTATTTATGAGACTTATATAACGCTTTAAGTGCAAGCACTCTCTAAGCGGTGTACACCAGTAAGCAATGTATATATATATATATTTTACATTGCCCCCAACAATCAGAGTTGAACTCTGATGCCATCCTTCCTCTCCCCCGAATAGAGTTTAGCTTTTTTTCCGACTCTTTTGTTCAAATATTATTTGTCCTGATTTAGCAGAATGGTTGGAACAGTTTCCCACTGTTCTTTCTGTGTGTCTGCCCTTCCTATTCATCTTCCTTGCCTTATTTTGTCTAGATCAAAATAATTTGTTTATTATCGTGTGCCGGCGGTAGGATCTAGCACCAGTTTGGTCAGGTTTGAGCACGAGAATGATGGGGAAATAATTTGGTTTAATGAACGAGCCAAGTATAAGTTGTCCAGTCGCTGAATTGAGACTGCCTTATTCTATTAAGGAGCTTTTTGAGACACCATTTCCTCCAAAAACTATTAAAGTAGTTTAGAGTGAACTTCCTCCGTTCCTCCCTCTTATAATCAACTCTGGCAGTTCCCAATCAGTTAAATAATCCTGTATTAAAACTTACGATATGTAAAAATGTTTGCATCAGTTCTTTAGTTTTATATGCATCCATATGAAATTCCAGAGTGAGATGAACTGCATGAGCTGTTATATAGTTTATATTTCAAAATGTCTTATTCTGGTTACACTTCAGAAAGGGATGGCAGACTTTTAAAGTTTTTAAGGGCTCTTCTTGGCTCACCTGCTTTTCAGAAAGCCAAGCGGGAGTAAAAGGTGCGCTCCTGTAACAACAGATAAACACAAATATTATACAGATAAACGATTGGTTCCAACTAACGGGCTGCCCTCTTGATCTTGTGCTGGCTTGTGTTCGCTGCTTGCAGATGTTCTGACAACTTTTGTTCTCTCTCCCTTTTTGTTTTCTGCTTCTCGATAAAGGAGTCAGTCACTGTCAACATAAAGTAAAGAGAGCCAGACCCTTTGTCCCTTTTGTCTTGTGTTCACATGAATCACCGGCTAAGGGTATTATTGCCTTGCTCTTTCCTTAGCTTGCCTGATTAGTTCAACAGCTGTGCATTAATAACCATGTTCCCTCCAGGCTACAGTAAAAATTGTAAATAAAATTCTAAGAACCTAAAAAATTAGGCTGCGGAAATTTTGAATCTGCCTGCCTGCCACCTTGTTCAGTTTGGGTTTTTTTTTTGTTCCCAATTGTTCACTGGAGTCCTAGGAAATATTTCCTATTACTATTGCAAAGGTGGAACTTTGGTGGTGCTGCTGCAAACCTATGAATAATTACTGTGAAGGAAACCCTCCATTTTTTTTTTTTTTTTAACTTGGTAGCCTGCTTGGGCCAATGCATGAACCCCTGGCATGAGAAGCAACTGTGTGTCTTAGTGCAGCAGCTGTACGATATAGCGAAGTCCTAAATGTCTACAAATCTAAAAGATACGTAGGCATTACGATGGGAAGACTTTATCATCTAGTCCAGGGGTATCCAACTTGGGCAACTTTAAGCTCTGTGGACTTCAGCATGGCGGGCTGGGGGATTCTGGGAGTTGAAGTCCACAGGACTTAACAGTTGCTAAGTTTGGACGTCTCTGACCCCGTCCCTTTGAAAACTCAGGCCTATCGGTTTGTATCGATGAAATAAATTTGAGGAAGAAAGCCAAATACAGTACAGATGGTCCTCAACTTACAGCCGCAATTGAGCCCAAAATGTACACCGCTAAATGAGACCTTTGTTAAGTGAGTTTTGCCCCACCTTCCTTGCCACAGTTGTTAAAGTGAATCCCTACAGTTATGAAGTTAGGTTGTTAAATGAATCTGACTTGGCTTGTCAGAAGGTAGCAAAAGGGGATCACTTGACACACACACACACACACACACACACGGATGCTGCGGCCGTCATAAATATGAGCCGGTTGCCAAAGCATTTGAATTTTGATCACGTGACCGTGGGATGCTGCAGCGGTTGTAAGTGTGAAAAATGGCGATAAGTCGCTTTATTTTTCCCAATGCCTTTGTAACTTCAATTGGTCACTGAATTGAACTGTTGTAAATCGAGGACTACCTATATTTGATTGTTCCCCCCTTGGATGCTTTTTCAAAAGGCCCTGAAACAGGGTTCTGCCGACAGGCCTGGGGACCCCAGTGTGATGCAGAGCCCATAAAGTGGCTGGGACTGATTGTCGTGGCAAAAGGCTTTGGAAGTTTATTGGTTTCTATATTGGGGTTTTATCTCTGTAAGCTGCCCAGAATCGCACGAATGAGTCGGGCAGCCGTATAAATTTCTTTAATAAAATAAAGATAAAATAAAGAATCGTTTTTTAACGTACAACCTTGGGTCCACCCAGAAAAGCTTCAGAAATTAAATGGAAATGTCACATAGTATGTCCCCAAAACTGTTGTGATTTACCTAAAACTGGGTTATGGAAGGATATATTTTTCTTGTGGGTCTATATGGGGGGGGGGGAAACCATTTTCAGTAAATGTCAGTTTCTTTAACAACTTTCAAACTTAATTCAATCCCATCTCCCTAGGCTGGCAACTTTTATTTCATTGACATTTAGTAGAATATCTACTAAATCATACAGTAGAATAACTCTTGTCAAGGGAGGAGAGAGGCTACAATGGAGAAAGAAAAAAAAAACAGTGGCCTCATTTTTCTCTCCAAATTGTACTAAAATTAGTGTGTTGACCGCTGCCTGCCCGCTGTGATTGCTGTATCGAAATACACTATTGGATCCCAATAAGTACCTGAATTATCACTGCTTTGTCACATTTCCTCAAACCTGGGCATGTATATGACTTGTAGCAATTTGTTTTTTATTCTCTTTTGCTTACTTGTGATTTTAATGCTGTATTTTCTCGTTTCTTCCCCCTTTTTTCTCCTCCTCTGTCCCTTCCCCGGCTTTTTACCTTCCGCTTTCTCTCTTTTTTTGCATGCTACCCGGGACCAACAGATGAAATTAGTGGGGACGGTAATATGTGGTTACTTTTTATTAACAATTTGTGTGTGTGATAATGTACTGCTTGCGACCTCAATAACTCGTTTGCCACTTTCGTTGTTTGCAATGAAGCCAACTCATCCCAGCCTTACACTTATTCAGATTATTCAGACAGGTCCTGCCATGCCAGAGTCATACAATGCCACAACATGGGACGTGCTTCCTTTAAAAAAAAGAGACAAGGGAAGTGTGTAGTGGGGTGCCCCAGGGCTCTGTTCTGGGCCCAGTGCTCTTCAATCTCTTCATCAACGATCTGGACGAGGGGATAGATGGGGAACTCATCAAATTTGCAGACGACACCAAGCTGGCAGGAATAGCCAACACTCCAGAAGATAGGCTTAGCATACAGGAGGATCTGGACAGACTTGAACACTGGGCGCTATCTAACAAAATGAAATTCAATGGTGAAAAAAGCAAGGTTCTACATTTAGGCAAGAAAAACCAAATGCACAGGTACAGTATAGGGGGTACCTTGCTCAATAGTAGTAACTGTGAGAGGGATCTAGTAGTGGACAATCACTTAAATATGAGCCAGCCGTGTGCTGCAGCTGCCAAAAAGGCCAACACAGTGGGCCATGTTTGAAGACCCCTGTCTTAAATCTAGCAAATAAAATGGAGGCTGGCTGAGGAATTCTGGGAGTTGAAGTCCACAAGTCATCCAAGGGCCACGTTTGAAGACCCCTGTCTTAAATCTAGCAAACAAAATGGAGGCTGGCTGAGGAATTCTGGGGGTTGAAGTCCACAAGTCATCCAAGGGCCACGTTTGAAGACCCCTGTCTTAAATCTAGCAAACAAAATGGAGGCTGGCTGAGGAATTCTGGGAGTTGAAGTCCACAAGTCATCCAAGGGCCAAGTTTGAAGAGCCCCTGCCTTAGAACATGCCTCTTTCCTCACCCCATTAATAAGTAAATATCCCGGTTGTTTCTCTGAGCCTGAATTGAATCATCTCTAGTGATTGTTACTTGCGGCTTCTGGGATTGTCCCGGGCCTTTGCCGGTCTGGCTTAAATTGGGAGAAACTGATTAGGGGTAGTCCTTGAGTTACACACCCCTTTGTTCAGCCGCCGTTCAACGTTCTTGCAAAGTTGAACAGGGTGATACCGATACCGGTCTTTAAAGTTTTTCAGCCGTTGCAAGGCTCTAGCAGTCACGTTATCAAAAATTGGGGTGCTTGTCAGCCTAACTTCAGTTAGACCAGTGTTTCTCAACCTTGACCATTTTAAGGCATGTGGACTTCAACTCCCAGAATTCCACAGCCAGCAACGCTGGCTGTGGAATTCTGGGAGTTGAAGTCCACATGCCTTAAAATGGTCAAGGTTGAGAAACACTTGAGTTAGACCATCCGAAATACTAGCTGGCGAAAACTCTGTGTATCCAGAGGTGAAGTTGCTTCCTTAACCTGGCCCTGATCTGCCTTAACTCTACAGCAGTGATTCTCAACCTTTTTAATGCCGCGACCCCGAACCCGGTCGTAAGTCGAGGACTACTCAACCGGTCGTAAGTCGAGGACTACTCAACTGGTGCAGCACCGTTTGCAGAATGGGACTTTTGGCGGGCTCAGCAGGGCAGAGACAGCCTGGACAATTCCTATTGGCTTTTGAAAGCCAATAGAATTAGACTCTATTCAAGAGAGTCTATTCTATTGGCTTTCAAAAGCCAATAGAATAAAAGGGAGTAGCACAGCTAAGGAAAAGGGGGAAAAAATGGCGGACTGCGTTGTTTGGCGACCCCCGTGAAATGGTCGTTCGACCCCAAATGGGGTCCCGACCCACAGGTTGAGAACCACTGCTCTACAGTTACGTAGGATGAGTTTTTAAAGCTTTGGCAATGAAGCTTACAGATGACACCAAGCTGGCAGGAATAGCCAACACTCCAGAAGACAGGCTTCAGGTACAGAAGGATCTGGACAGACTTGAACACTGGGCACTAACTAACAAAATGAAATTCAATGGTGAAAAAAGCAAGGTTCTACATTTAGGCAAGAAAAACCAAATGCACAAGTACAGCATAGGTGGCACCATGCTCAATAGTAGTAACTGTGAGAGGGACCTCGGAGTCCTAGTAGACAATCACTTAAATATGAGCCAGCAGTGTGCTGCAGCTGCCAAAAAGGCCAACACAGTGCTAGGCTGCATTAACAGAGGGATAGAATCAAGATCACGTGAAGTATTAATACCACTCTTCAATGCCTTGGTAAGGCCACACTTGGAATACTGCATCCAGTTTTGGTCACCACGATGTAAAAAAGATGTTGAGACTCTAGAAAGAGTACAGAGAAGAGCAACAAAGATGATTAGGGGACTGGAGGCTAAAACATATAAGGAACGGTTGCGAGAATTGGGTATGTCTAGTTTAACGAAGAGAAGGACAAGGGGGGACATGATAGCAGTATTCCAATATCTCAGGGGCTGCCATAAAGAAGAGGGAATTAAGCTATTTTCCAAAGCACCTGAAGGCAGGACAAGAAGCAACGGGTGGAAACTAATCAAGGAGAGAAGCAACCTAGAACTAAGGAGAAACTTCCTGACAGTGAGAACAATTAATCAGTGGAACAGCTGCCTCCAGAAGCAGTAAATGCTCCAACACTGGAAGTTTTTAAGAAGAGACTGGACAGTCATTTGTCCGAAATGGTGTAGGGTTTCCTGCCTGAGCAGGGGGTTGGACTAGATGACCTCCAAGGTCCCTTCCAACTTTACTACTACTATTATTATTATTATTAAGGTTAAAAATGGCCACTTGTCTCAAATTTAACAGCATCCTAGGACTGTCTTCCTTGGTATAAAAGAGTTTTATAGTAGATGGGAAACATTTAAAAAAGGAACTCAAGGGGGGGATGTAGATAAATCAGTATCGCCTCCTTCCCTCCGATTTATAGTATTAGCATTTTCTTTAAAGTCTGGGAGCTTCTTTCTCCTCCCTCAAGCACTCAAGATTGAAACATTTGCAACTTTTGAAGCGTTGATGCCTGAAGCAAAAAAAAAAAAAAAAAATCATATTATGAGAAAAGCCTCTCCTGAAATAGCTCAGAATGTCTGGCTTTAAGAAACATCTCTTAATCTGTTGAAAATGCCTGCTAAAACGAGTTACACGCAGTGTTTCTCAACCTTGACAATTTCAAGGCATGTGGACTTCAACTCCCAGAATTCCACAGCCAGCAATGCTGGCTGTGGAATTCTGGGAGTTGAAGTCCGCATGCCTTAAAATTGTCAAGGTTGAGAAAAACTGAGTTACAGTATTTTTTTTTAAAATTGGTTAAAATTGATTCTGCATCTCCTACGTGTGCCTTTCCACGTTGTTTTCCCAAAACTTAAAAAGGAAAAAAAAAGAACAATAAACTCAATTAGAGGGAGACTATAAAAAAATTAGATAAACCAATTAAATAATCGAACTAGGTAAATGCCTACACACAATTCCTATTCATAGCATGTACTGTATAGAGAGGTTTCATTAAATTAAGTAAAATTTAAATAATTCAAAAGTATTATAGAGGCAGAGAGAGGGAGAAAGAATTTTTAGTTTGCCAGGAAAAGTATCTTATCATTTAACAATCTAATATTCTTACCTGGGAAGCCTACACGCTTTGTATTGTGCGGAATTTATTGTGCAAGCAATTTTATTTCAGGATTTCTTTGTCAAATGCCAAATACAGGTAGTCCTCAACTTACGACTACAGTTGAGTCCAAAATTTCTGTTGCTAAGCGAGACATTTGTGAGGTGAATTTTGCCCCGTTTTATGACGTTTCTTGCCACATCGGTTAAGTGAATCAATGGAGTTGTTGGTAATATGGTTCTTCCCCATTGAGTTGGCTTGTTAGAAGGTCGCAGAAGGGGATCCCATGGCATGGCCCTTGGACACTCCAACCGTCATAAATATGAGTCAGTTGCTAAGTGTCTGAATTTTGACCATGTGACCCTGGAGATGCTGCAGCCATTGTGAGTGTGAAAAACGTTCATTTTTTTTTTGAACTGTCACTAAACAGACTGTAGTAAGTCGAGAACTACCGTTTTAGCCTTCAGAGCCTGGGCCAATTTATCTTCTGGATCCTCTTCAAGGACAATGTCACATGAACCACATTACAATGGTCTGTATGGGAGGTAACTAGGGCACAAGTGACTGTGAGCAGAGCTTCTTGGCCCAGGAAAGGCTGTAACTACAAGGTGTAACTCTAAAACAGTGGTTCTTAGCCTTTTTGAATGAATCGCCCCCTTGAGCCAATGAGGAAGTTGTCATCGCCCCCCTCTCAATCACAACATAGGAAATAATTCTTCAATTTATCCAAACACTTTTTTTTTGTTTTTTTTTTAAATTGTCATCAGGACATATCGATGCAAATAATTTATTTCCAGTTTTTTTCCCATATCTCAACTGTGTGAAGAAATTTTGGTGCCACCCGTCACTTTATTCCCAAACTTCGTGATACATGTATTTCATTATTATCTTCTTTATTCAAGACACTTAAATGTAGTGACCACTGAAAACAAAATTCAATTGCAAGAAAGTGAAATGCCCGAAAAGAAAAACAGTAACCTTTAATGATTGAATTACAAGTGAAATTTAAGACGCAAAAAGAAATATAAAAAGGGCATAAGAACAAACCGCAATGCAGGAACTAAGAATTTCAAGACAAAAACTCTGAAACTAAAATTAAGATTCGAGGAAAGTATATATATAGTCACGCACGCTGTAAAAAGGATTAAAAAGAAACAAAGAAAATATAATATCGAACTGGAGTGCACGCTAGAAAAGTACAATACAAAATATTTTACAGAGCCACTCAGCATGGGATGTTTCGAAAGAAGCGCTCCCCCCTCCAACAGATATACAGCGATTCACTGTACGAAAAAGCCTCAGAAGTGTCCTCAAAACTTCTCGCTCCATCGCCCCCATATCGCCCCCTTTTCTGTCCTTCGCCCCCGTGTCACCCCTTTTTGTTCCATTGCCCCCCTGAAAAGTGAAATCGCCCCCTGGGGGGCAATATCGCCCAGGTTAAGAACTACTGCTCTAAAACAGGGGTCTCCAAACCTGGCCACTTTAAGACTAGTGAACTTCAACTCCCAGAATTCCGCAACTTCCAGAACTGCCCGACTGGGGAATTCCGGGGGTTGAAGCCCACAGGTTTTAAAGTTGCCAACTTTGGAGAGCCCTTCTCTAAATTAAACTTTATTATAAAAAAGCCCTCAAAGATATCCAGACTGCTTCTTCCCTGTTGGACTTCCAAAGAGTTGTGAAGACCTGGCTTTTTAAGAGAAAGTTTGGGGATGTCAGGGATCTGATGTCTGTTATGATGGACTTTGGATGGAAGTTTTTAACTTCATATACAAAACGCAAAATAACAGAGTTGGACCAGACCTTGGAGGTCTTCTAGTCCAACCCCCTGCTCAAGCAGGAAACCCTACACCAGTGGTTCTCAACCTTTTTAATGCTGCGACCCCAACTGGTCGTAAGTCGAGGACTACTCAACTGGTGCAGCACCGTTTGCAGAATGGGACTTTTGGCAGGCTCAGTAGGGCAGAGACAGCCTGGACAATTCCTGTTGGCTTTTGAAAGCCAATAGAATGAGATTCTATTCAAGAGAGTCTATTCTATTGGCTTTCAAAAGCCAATAGAATAAAAGGGAGTAGCACAGCTAAGGAAAAGGGGGGGAAAATGGCGGACTGCGTTGTTTGGCGACCCCCGTGAAATGGTCTTTTGACCCCAAATGGGGTCCCGACCCACAGGTTGAGAACCACTGCCCTACACCATTTCAGACAAATGGTTGTCCAATCTCTTCTTAAAAACCTCCAGTGATGAAGTACACACAACTTCTGGAGGCAACTTTTTCCACTGGTTAATTATTCTCATTGTCAGAAAATTTCTCCTTAGTTCTAGGTTTCTTCTCTCCTTGATTAGTTTCGATACATTCCCTATATTGGTGAATGCAAGCCACTATGAATTTTCCTAAACTGAGTGGCATCGAAGCCAAAAGAATGTATGAAACCTGATTTATAAAACTTGGATGAGAAGCGAAACGTCTTGAAGGAAAAGCCAAGAAGATGGTCCAGTTGCTTCTTGGAAGAAGCACCTTTGGGACAACCATGATCTGGATGACTGAGGATCTCCATAGAGATTGGATCTATAAAACTACAGGCCAGCTTCGTTACAAACTGCTCTAATTAATGAGCCTCAGCAGAACCTCTTGTTTTGAAAGGAGATTTCAACTCACCAGAAATTAATGCAGAAAATGCAGTCCTTTGGGAAATAGCCCGAAGAAGTTATGCCAATTTCCATTATAGAAATGAGAGACAATAGGGTTAACTATCACACAGAGGAGAAGAAGCTACTAAGGGATGCTATTTAAGACTAAAACAATCAACCTTTTCTTGGAGAGGATCTAAATTCTGAAGCAAAGCCTTTTTTCCTGGACTTTTCCATACTTCTTGAGTTAATTCCAATAATTTAGCAAAGCTGCTGAAGAGAGTAATTTTCACTAGTTTTTCCCAGTTCAAGGATAGCAGTTTCTTGTTCTTTTTTCCCTTGGAATACTGCCTTTTTTTTAACTTTTTAAATTATCTACGTGGGAAATCTTACAAGTGTACCAACACAATCCTGTTCATGAGAGGAAGGAAGGGCTTATTTAAACTCAAGTGCTGTCAGGGCTTAGATCAGGGGTTGCCAACCTGTGGGCCGTGGCCTGCTAGCCAGTGGGTCGCGGGACAGGCTGGCCAGTGCGTGGATATGTGTGCGTGCACTCAGGCCCACTTGCAGTAGCACTGCTGCTACACAAAAGTGCTATGCAGCAAAAACGGCATTGGGTAGTGAAAACGGGGCACCGGCCTCCAAAAACAGGGCACCGCTAGCGTCATGCAGGCGCCAGCACCGCCCCATTTGTGTGCGCATGTACTGGCGCATGTTAAATGCTTCTCCTTCCTTTGCCTACGGTGCACCAACTGTGAAAGATTGGAGACTCTGGCTTAGATGACAGCGAAGAGCTAGCAATTCAGAGCAGAAGCGAAACTACAGTTTTGGGTGTTTTATGAATGTTTAGCATATTTTAGCAGATAGATAGATAGATAGATAGATAGATAGATAGATAGATAGATAGATAGATAGATAGATAGATAGATAGATAGACAGACAGACAGACAGACAGACAGACAGACAGATTTCTAGCCGGAATGACAGCTCAATGCACATAAAGCTAATTTCTTTGCATAATAAAAGCTAAATCTAGATGAAAATACTGGGGATGGAGCGAGGATAGAATTAGACAATAATATTGAAATAGTTAGAATTTGTTAAGAGCAGACTTGTAATACATAGATAACCCTTTAAATAACTTGATTGGTTAAATTGGTGTAGCTGCTCATTACTCTCGGTGGGTAACAGTACATAACAAAGGAATAAAAGCAACGTAACACAATTTTAAATGTCATAAATTAGCAGCTGAGAAATACGACCAACAGCAACAATTAATAATCATTCATCACAGTTAATGCAGGGGTCTTCAAACTTGGCCCTTTTATGACTCATGGACTTCAACTCCCAGAATTCCTCAGCCAGCGTGGCATACTGGCTGAGGAATTCTGGGAGTTGAAGTCCACAAGTCATATAAGGGCCAAGTTTGAAGACCCCCTGAGTTAATGGAATCAAGACATGGGCTCACCCACATCATCAGGACCCCATCCTCAAACACAAAACCAAGTCTTCAAGGCCTTGAGAAGGACCAGCTATGTCCAGACACTCCTCATCTCTTTTTTATAAAGAAATTAAAAAAAAAGAACATCACAGACATTGCTATTTTGGGCTCAAATGTTCAGCTGAATGACAAGTTCGGTCTGGTTTGTCTATGATCTTCCACTCCACCCCTGCAAATTCTCTCATCCATTGCTTTATTGTGAATTTCTTTTAACAGAAAATTTGTGTTGACTGTTCCGACGGGATTACTCATGTTTTGACTCCTGCCTCTAAATAGGGGAACTGTCTCCTGATCATAAAGATGTATTCAGTTTGTCTCTAGTCCCTGAAAAAAAAAAAAAAACTCTTGGTTACGTAATGTAGGTGGGAATGAGGTCATCTTCATGTCCCTGCGTTAATCTCGTCTGGGGAGATTGAATCATGATGGCAGATGGAGATATGGGGAGGTGAAAAGGTTGCAGATTTGGGGTTTTGGATAGAAAAACACTCTCTCTCTCTGTATGTGGGTATGTGTGTGTGTGTGCGCACACACACATACCCCCCCCAGTCTTGTTATTCTGTTTCATAATATGGTCATTTCCTTCAGATTCTCCCAATTATTTCATTTCAGAAACAGATGACTATGCAGAGATCATAGATGAAGAAGATACGTATACCATGCCTTCAAGTAAGTCATCCTTCTTTCACTCTGGACCCTGATGGAGTCAATAAACATAGTTGTAAGAGCTATTTTTAATCAAGAATATCTGGGAGGCATCCTTTTGGACCTAGAAACTGAAAAACAAAAGGTTTAAGTCTACTTGAATCCCCACTGGGGATTGTTATTTATTTTTGAAATAGTAAACCTAGAAACACAGGTCCATAGAAACAACTGAGAGAGGCGAATTTTGGATTGTTGGCCAGATGGGAAACGGCTAGTAATTTGGTGTTTCAGTTCAGGCACTATGCTGTGTCTTACCCACAAGAAGTGTAAGTGTGCTTTCCCTCTAGGATAGTGGTGGTGAACCTTTTAGAGACCGAGTGCCCAAACTGCAACCGAAAACCCACTTATGCATCGCCGGGTGCCGGGTGGGTGCGGCCCATTGGGTGGGTGTGGCCCCCGAGCTGTCGGCTCGTGCTCACTTGCTCGCTGTCCGCTCCGACCCTCGTTGTCTCGCTCTCTCGCTGTCTGCAGCAAACGTTGCTTCTGCTGAAAGTTGCTCCTTTTATAGCCTCTCGCCTATTTCCAGACTGCGCATGCGCGGAGAGCTGCGCATGGGCGGAGAGCTGCGCATGGGCGGAGAGGAGGAGGGAACAGCTTGGCCCAGCAATGCTCGCGTGCCACCAGAGACGGCTCCATGTGCCGCCTGTGGCACGAGTGCCATAGGTTCACCACCACGGCTCTAGAACCTTACACTTTGGTGCATTAAGAAAAGGAAAAGGCGGGAAAATTTCACCTTCATTTTCAGTGTTTTCCTATATGTTTATGTTGATGATTGAAAATGAGATCCAGTTTGGTCTCGTGGTTAAGGTACCAGGCTAGAAAGCAGAAAACCATGAGTTCGAATCCCACCTTAGCCATGAAAGCCAGCTGAGTGACTTTGGGCCCATCACCAGGAGACAGCGAGTTCTAGTCCCTCCTTAGGAATTCTGGCTGGCCAATCACCACTTCTAGATCTGCCTCAAGCATGAAAGCCAGCTGGGTGACTTTGGACCAGTCACTTCCTCTCATTCTGACTCACCACACAGGTTGTTGTTGTGGGGAAAATAAGAGTAGGAAGATGTGTTGGATAGGTATGCTGCCTTAGGTTGTTGGTAAAAATAATAAAGGCAGGATATACAATGAGGGAAAGAAGTATTTGATCCCTTGCTGATTTTCCCTCACTGTAAGAGTAGTGGTGGTGCAGTGGTTAGAATGCAGTATTGCAGGCTAACTCCCTGCCAGCAGTTCGATCCTGACCAGCTCAAGGTTGACTCAGCCTTCCATCCTCCTGAGGTTGGTAAAATGAGGACCCGGATTGTTGGGGGCAAATAGGCTGACTCCATAAACCGCTTAGAGAGGGCTGTAAAGCACTGTGAAGTGGTGTATAAGTCTAAGTGCTGTTGCTATTGCTAGATATAAATAAACAAGTAAATGTTAGTAAAATCAAAACCCAATTTCCAAAGTGCTGGCATAATGGAAAAATCTCAGCTTGCTTTAAAGGAGGGAAACACACATTAAGAGGAGAGATTGTGCTTTGCATCTGAAATGACCATAGAAGACAATTTAAAACATAAGTATCAAAATTAAAACTATTCTGGGAACCAAGCACAACTCCTAGTGGTAATGCAGACACATCCATTTGGTTTTCTTGGCAACAACGTGGATGTGTTTTCTTATTGCCTTCTTGGATGGGTTACGACTGTCTGGTCTTGCCCACAGCCTCAGTATCCCTTTGAGGTCATCTTCCAAGTGCTAATCAGGCTGATTAAGCAGGGATAATAATAATAATAAAAAGAATATTCTTGCAAGGGAGAGGGAATGAATGATTTTTTAAAAAATTGTTAGCCATTGCTAATGAAAAACATAGCTTATAATAGCATGTAGTAGATAAATGCAGTAACCTCATCCTAAAATGTTTTATAATATGCCAAGTAAAGTTGAACGGAATCTGTGCCTCTACAGTGCTATGAAGATGGTGTCATAAAGATAGATCGTGTATTTTGGGGGGCTTGCAGAAATTTCAAATACAATGCCTGTGTGTAGGATTTTGAATACTGGACATTTTTTTTCCAACTGTAATTTGCATTTTAAGAAATATTTTCTAAGCCGGTGTTTGATTTTTCTCTTAATTGCACTGCAGAAAGCTATGGAATAGATGAAGGTAACAGGAGATCCTTTAATTATCTATCTGTTTACAATTTTGGAGATATCTTTTTTTTTTTAAAGGAACTGTTGACTTTTTATTAATAAAGTGCTGGCTCAATTGTGTATTTTTAAGCCAACACATTTGATCGCTATGGGATTATAAAGAGGAAACTGCTGTGTTCAAATAAAAATGGGTATATAGAATACAGAAGATTTTATGTCTATTCTTACCTTTTTGTTTTTTTGAACTCATCATTATAAACAATTTCCACTTCTCCTTTTGGAAACAAGAAAGCATGTTTCCCACTATTTTATTTGAAGTACGGAAGTAAAAAAATAGACAATTCAGTTGGCAATGAATAATGCCTAATGATCTTAGGAATAAGCAGTTTACTAAAGAAAAAAATATAATAAAATAAGTATGACGTGTCAGCAGAATAAATTGCATAGGTGTTTAGGCTAGGTTTTTTTCCCCAGCTTTATTAAAACTTGGCCGATTTCCTGATTAACCATTCAATATTATGTATTTTTACTTGGCAATAAATTTCACCCTTCAGTGGGGTTTATTTCCAGGAATATATGTATAGGATTAAAACCACGAGCCTCTAAAATATCGTGTAATGGAGACCTCTTAAATATGCCATTAGCAGGAGCTAATCAAAATAACCTACCCTTTTTGCATTTCTTTCCAATGTGAACCATTGGTCATAATTCAGTTAGGATGTTTTAATTACACTGCTTGCATTAATGTAACTAAACACAATGGAACTAATTCAGAACTAGAAGTCTCACATCCTTTCCAGGATTTCCATTTGAATGGGTGTTTAAGAGGGTTCCGCTCTAGAAATGATATTTACATGAACTGCTTGTGGGCAAATTCTGCTATTTTTTTTTTTCTCCAAAGGGTAATCATTTTAAGCTACCTTTGATGGTATTTTGTCTTTTGTGGGGTACTTCCTGGGGAAGCTGTTTCATCAGTGGATTTAAATTTTAAATGGATTGTATTTTAATAGCCAGGGATTATGAGATTCAGAGGGAGCGGATTGAACTGGGACGCTGCATCGGTGAAGGGCAGTTTGGTGATGTTCACCAAGGAGTTTATGTCACTCCAGTAGGTATCTGTAATGTTTTCATACTTTTTCATAAGTAGAATTATTTGCCGTCTAATTGTGTGTTATTATCCTTTGTATACTCTTATGGTCTAAGATGTTCATTTATCTTTACATTTGCAGATTGTCTCTGGAGTTTTAGAAGAGATAAGGCTTGCGTTTCATTAAATCCTGCAAATACCTTAGTTCAGGGGTAGACAACCTTGGCTCTTTTATGACTCGTGGACTTCAGCTCCCAGAATCCCTGAGCCAGCATGGCTCAGCTTGGAAACCTCTCCCTCAGCATGACTGGCTCAGGATTTCTGGGAGTTGAAGTCCATGAGTCATCAAAGAGCCACGGTTGCCTACCTCTGGCCTAGTGAAAATGCAAATATGTCCAGTTTTGAACTTATCTTATGTAGTAATGGAAAACTTCTTAACGCGGTACATAGAGTCTCTGCTAACCTTTTATCTTTATTGATTACAATTCCTTAAACTACACACCCTCACACGTTCACATTTATTAAACTATAATACCCGCCAGGTGATATAAGGAGCGTTGGAGAAGACAAGAGTTCTTTTATATCACCACTTGTGTGCATGGGTGGTGTCCTTTGTCTAGCCCAGGGCTCTTCAAACTTGGCCCTTTTATGACTCGTGGACTTCAACTCCTAGAATATCTCAGCCAGGCATGCTGGCTAAGGAATTCTGGGAGTTGAAGTCCACGAGTCATAAAAGGGCCAAGTTTCAAGAGCCCTGGTCTAGCCCTTCATTTTGTTTTGTTCTAGCAGACCTCTATCACATGTATCCTCAATTATTTTCTTCATGTGGGGTCCTTGGTGCTCTCGGAGCTTGATTGCAGACGTTTCATTACCAAACCCCATTCCTTTCTAGCCCTGATGGTGTTGCTTAGTTGGGTAATGAAACGTCTGCAAGAACATCGCCAAGCTCACCCACAGTTGAACCCCAATCTACAAATATTCTCTCTGGAGGCCATTTTCTTCATGTTTACTGGCTGTTCGCTGTGACCAGGAAACATAAGACCGGTTGTTTAATGTCTATGGGAAAAAAGCACCTTTTTTTTTAAAAATACCTTTGGGACGTTGCTTAGAAATTATTTTCATTCTTTGTTGACTCAGCTTGCTTGGGGGTCACCCAATTTCAGCTGGTTGCTCTTGTGCAAATACGGCCTGTCCTCTGTCATTCTCTCCCTCTTTCTCAATACTGTGTCATGTTGGTTTGTGTGGCGAATGCTGCTGACAATGACTGTGGTCGTGATGACTAAAATGTCAGATTAAGGCTAAACCTTTTCCCCACTTGACCCCGAAAGCTCATTGTACCAACGTCCTTTCATGGGAAAAAGAAAAGCGTAATGCTGAGGAGAGCTGTGTAGGTGAATTTGAATTTATACACACACACACACACACACACACACACACACACACACACACACACACTGGTATTGAAGTTATTTGGCAGGTGTGGTGGGGAAATCTTTGGGTTTTAGTTTTTCACAAAATGTTGCGTATGGAGAGTTGGAAGACAAAGTCACAAACGATTGGCTTAAGTGGAGTAATAAGAACTTAAGCTGGGAGCTTAACTCCTTCTCTCTGATTATACCAAAGCTCAGAAGCTCCGATAAACACGTCCAGCTGTTACACGCCTGTTGTTAAGTAGTGACATGGTGGGGAGGTGTGCGGAGGAGATGGGGTCCAAGGAGAAGAGAAATCTCATTTGGCCTGAGGGTCTAATTAGCCATTGGTAATGTGTGAACTTTTTAATGTAGAGAACTCTGCCCACCAGCGGCTTCTGATTTAAGCCTGCTGTGGGATACATTTGAACTTTCCAGCAGGAGCTGCAGCTTTCAGCCCCTTTCCAGAGACGCATGAACGCACAGGAAAAAAAAAAAAAAGAAATTACGTTTGTCTTCTCATGGAGCAGTTAGGTTTTAATTAGCTTCTTTCAATAGATGTTTGAAATCTTGGAGCTGTGGGAAGTCAGCTTCCCAGAGAAGGAAATATTAAAAGGGCAGAAAAATATATTTCCTCCAAGGATCTTGAAGAACCAGAAAAGCATGCCCAGTTTGCTTAATAGCCCCAGCTCTCCCTCCCCCAAGCTCTGTACAAATGCAGATGTAGGAGGCCCCGGCTAGAAACTTAAGAAGACAAAGACACCGAAAATCTGCATACCCCATCCAAACTCCAAGAGTCATTAGCCCCAGCACCAGGGAAGCAGGATATAACCTTTGGGACATAGTAGGATTAACTCACAGATGCCAAAAGGACACAGGTCAAAATACATGACACAGGAAATACAAAGCCTCAAACAGGAACAGGAAATAACCTCCAAACAAAAGGCTCCAGAGGGTATAAAAACCTACTCCCCACATATGATCAGACCTTTTTCTCTCCTCTTTTCCTGCCAGAACCATCTTTCTATCTGGCTCTTCAATAAACTGCAACCTTCTTTCTAAAGCAGTCGCCATGTCGTTTATCCCCGGCTTGGACTGGACCATGATGAAGATTTTTCCTTCAACAGAGCTTTAGGTCAAAAAAAAAAAAAAGTTCTTTATGAAACTCTGCCACTTGACTGGAGAAGAATACTTTTACCTTTTTTTCCATTCTGGGGACAATCTGGGGGTCGAAAAAGCTTGAGGAGGATGAACAAGATTTTCAGAAAGGTTTCTTCCCTTGGCCCCACCTTTAGACGTAATCTCAAAAGAAGACTACAGCCACCAGAAAGTGGCACCTTCCACGTAACTCTGCTGAAAAGATTAAACAAAATCCCAATATAAAAGAACGGGGTCTTCGAAGAAACATAAATTTATTTAGTACAGTACTCTAAAAATGTTTGGCTTAGAGAGCAAGCAGTAAGATGTTCATTTATCTTTACATTTGCAGATGGTCTCTGGAATTTTAGAAGAGATAAGGCTTGCGTTTCATTAAATCCTGCAAATACCTTAGTGCAGGGGTAGGCAACGTTGGCTCTTTGATGACTTGTGGACTTCAACTCCCAGAATTCCAGAGCCAGCCATGCTGAGGGGAAAGGGAGAAGTTTCCAAGCTGAGCCATGCTGGCTCAGGAATTCTGGGAGTTGAAGTCCACGAGTCATGAAGGGGCCAAAGTTTCCCCCATGCTGGCTCAGGAATTCTGGGAGTTGAAGTCCGTGAGTCATGAAGGGGCCAAAATTTCTCCCATGCTAGCCCAGGAATTCTGGGAGTTGAAGTCCACAAGTCATGAAGAGGCCAAAGTTTCCCCCTTGCTAGACCAGGAATTCTGGGAGTTGAAGTCCACGAGTCATAAAGCGGCTTGGGCCTAGGCCAGAGGTAGATAACCTTGGCTCTTTTATGACTCATGGACTTCAACTCCCAGAATTCCTGAGCCAGCCACGCTGAGGGGAAAGGGAGAGGTTTCCATGCTGGCTCAGGAATTCTGGGAGTTGAAGTCCACGAGTCATAAAAGAGCCAAGGTTGTCTACCCCTGCCTTAGTGTCACCTGCACCTACTTTGCTTTTTTTGAAAAGATGGTGTTATACAATGCTGGCCATGCAGCTCCACTAAACAGGTTGCCCACCAGCAGATTAAAATTACCGGAAAAATAAGTTGGTGTATAATGCACAACCGATAACGGAAACTTTTGGGGTATCTTTTTCTGTGTAATCTGAGACAAACTTGTCTAATTTAAGCTGAAGTTGAACACTGTGTTTTAATAGAATAATAATGAGAATTCTATCCCTTCTTATAGAACAAAAAGACAAAGTTAATTTCCAGTCAAACTGAAGCACATGCTTAGAAACTTGAAATTGGCCAGTACACTTTTAGTATGAATGTCTTTTTATACTTTTGAAGAAATGAGCGTTAGCATTATGCAAGTAGTCTTTAAAAAAATACACACACATTTGGATCTATCTCATATAAAATTGAAAATAATTTTTTTTAAAGCCCCTTCCACAATATTAAATTAGTTTCAAAGTTAAACATCTAACAGTTCGGTTAGGTTTGTTAATTTTAGGTTTTTGGTTTTTTTTACAGAATTTCAGATTGCGCTGTTGTAGGCATTAAGTAAGGGAAGAAACCATTCCCAACCTCGCTCCTGTATTTCACATATGAAATGTATAAAATGGCAGCAGCTGTTTGTCGTATTCAGCTGCCTGGTTCGTGAGAAAATGCTAATTTTAGCCAAATTGTCACTTTTTTTGGGGGGGGGCAAAATCCGTGAAACACTCTTTTTTTTTTTTTAAAGAGAGATTTCAGAATCAATGTCTGTGTGTGATACCTTTCATTTGTATAACGTGGGCTTTCTATCTTGCAGGAAAACCCTGCCATGGCAGTTGCAATCAAAACGTGTAAAAACTGTACTTCAGACAGCATCAGAGAGAAATTCTTGCAAGAAGCCTGTAAGTTCCAGCGACGTTCCTGTCTTTCAGCTTGGGTAGGCTTAGGCCCGTGATGGAGAACCTATGGCACGGGTACCAGAGGCGGCACACGGAGCCCTCTCTGTGGGCACGTGCGCCGTCACCCCGGCCCCACCTCCTCCCGCGGTTCCCTCCTCACCAGCAGCCCCCCAGAGGAGAGTCGCCCCCGAGGAGCAGCGCAGCCAAGGACATGGCAGCTGGGCAGTGGGGACAAGACTCCACCCTTGCACCCTGGCACGTGCAGTTGATGCTGCGGGGCGCGGGCGGAGGGCGTGGCTACCCTGGCGCTGCTGGGCCGCCTGAACGATCTACAGTGGGCCATGGAAGCGCTGGGCAGGGCGGGGATGGGGTAGGGGTGGGGGCGGAGCGTGCAGGGCAGGGTGGGGGCGGTTTTGGGGCACTCAGTCTCTAAAAGGTTCGCCATCACTGGCTTAGGCGGAGCATGTGCAGGGTTCTTGTTTGCAAAGACTGGAAACACCACGACTTTGCTGAAAACTGTCCCCTGCATTGTAGCAACCACAGTCCCTCCAACCGTAGGCTCTTGCCCCTGTTAAGCAAAGTTCTCCAAGTGGCATCTAGTCCTTCTCTCCCTCTAGAAGTCCGAAATGGGATAGGGTTTCCTGCCTGAGCAGGGGGTTGGACTAGATGACCTCCAAGGTCCTTTCCAACATCATCATCATCATCATCATCATCATTATTATTATTATTATTATTATTATTATTATTATTATTATTATTATTATTATGGATCATCGCACAGTCAGGCAGATGTTCAGACTGGATTTGGCATTTTGTCTACCTATCGAGTCCTTACCCAGGATCTGGGATAGGCAGGAAATCCCATACCATTTCAGACAAATGGCTGTCTAGTCTCTTCTTAAAAACTTCCAGTGTTGGAGCATCAGCTCCAGTGATGGAGCGCCCACAAATTCTGGAGGCAAGCAGTTCCATTGATTATTACAGAAGAACAGAATTGGAAGGGACCTTGGAGGTCATCTAGTCCAACCCCCTGCTCAGGCAGGAAACCCTATACCATTTCAGACAAATGGCTGTCCAGTCTCTTCTTATAAACATCCAGTGTTGGAGCATTCATACCTTCTGCAGGCAGGTTATTCCACTGATTAATTGTTCTAACAGTTAGGAAATTTCTCCTTAGTTCTAGGTTGCTTCTCTCCTTGATTAGTCTCCATCTCTTGCTTCTTCTCCTGCCTTCAGGGGCTTTGGAGAACAGCTTGACTCCCTCTTCTTTGGGGCAGCCCCTGAGATATTAGAAGACTGCTATCCTGTCCCCCCTCATCCTTCTCTTCATTAGACTAGACATACCCAGTTCCAGCAACCGTTCCTTGTATGTTTTAGTCTCTTTGTTGCTCTTCTCTGCACTCTTTCTAGAGTCTCAACCTCTTGCATGTATTCTCTTTCACTCCCCCCCTTCCCCCCTCTCTCGGCTGAAAAATATAGGCTGAGATTTGATTCATAAATCCAGATTTGTAATACTCTGTTTCAAATTGAAGAATGACACACGTAGTTTAGAACAGTGACCGAATCATGCGCAGCCGAGATAAATCTGCTACTCCAGTGTTTCCCAAACTTGACAATTTTAAGGCATGAGGACTTCAACTCCCAGAATTCCACAGCCAGCAACGCTGGCTGTGGAATTCTGGGAGTTGAAGTCCACATGCCTTAAAATTGTCGTGTTTGGGAAACACTGTGCTACTCTAATGTATATTTTTAGAATTTCCCTGTGTATTTCGTGAGATAAAAGGTGGTGCTCTCTCTTCCACAGCACAAACAAACATATTTCCATTCCATTAGGTACGAGGTTTAGCTCCTGTGCTCTTGAGACAGATCATAAAGCAACTCTGTTCCGAGTCAGTGCACTTGATGCCAGCCAAAGGAGTAAATGAGATTTTTCTTGTGGACATCATATTCATATCGGTGTCGTACTCCATCGCAACTCAGTGCATCTGTCTGAGTGGTGTTCCATTTTTCTTCTTTCTGCTCTAATGAAGACAAGATGCGTAAGGCAGTGTGAATCAATAAGTTTTTTTTTTTTAAGATGGGTTTGGAGCTTTGAACCGTATTTAGTGATAATTGTCGCCACTTTATATTTTGCAGGCCATCTGCTCTTGAACTGAATCAATTTAGGCCGATCGAAAGATACTAAATTGGTGTCGTACCTTTGTGGCTCCCTCAGAAGGAAAATCCCTGGCCTTTTCAGCATAGTTGTGAAATCAAAGATGATAATAATAATAATAAAGTTGGAAGGGACCTTGGAGGTCATCTAGTCCAACCCGCTGCTCAGGCAGGAAACCCTATACCAGTGATGGCGAAGCTTTTAGAGACCGAGTGCCCAAACTGCAACCCAAAACACACTTATTTATCGCCAGGTGCCAGGTGGGACGTGGCCCACTGGGTGGGCATGGCTATGGTGGTCATGGCAGACTGGGTGGATGTGACCAAAGTGGGTATGGTCACCTTGATGTTGCTCATGCGGAGGGATGCCTGTGGGGGCCAGGCAGGGTTGGGGGAGATCCAGGGGGTCTCTGGCAGGTGGGGCGTTGGGCAGGAGGTTCGTCCTATGGGGAGAGGCAAGGCAGGGCAGGGCAGGAGTGCCATTGCCACGGGGCAAGGAGAGGCAGGGGCACCAGGAACCGGTTCCGTGGAGAGAAGTTTTTCCACGGACCGAAGAGTGCGTGGTTTTGTGTGCTGCCTGCATCCCATGGGTGGGGCTTTGATTGTTTGTGCGGACCGGTTGCTGGCATGCCGCGGCCCGGTACCAGTCCATGGACTGGGGATTGGGGACCCCTGGTATAAGGCACTCATAGCAGCTGCCTCAAAGGACATCCCTTTGATTGTGGTGTCACAGTGCTTAGAATGCAGTATTGCAGGCTCACTCTGCCCACTGCCATGAGTTCGATCCTGACCGGCTCAAGGTTGACTCAGCCTTCCATCCTTCCGAAGTTGTTAAAATGAGGACCCGGATGGTTGGGGGCAACAGGCTGACTCTGTAAACCGCTTAGAGAGGGCTGTAAAAGCGCGATGAAGCGGCATATCAGTCTTAAGGGCGATCGCTAAGTCTAGAATCAACCCCTTGCTACGAAAAGAACCCTTTCCCCCCTTTGTTTTCAGATTTAACTAGACTTTTTTTTGCTTTCCCTGTTGCAGTAACGATGCGTCAATTTGACCACCCCCACATTGTCAAGCTGATTGGTGTCATTACGGAAAACCCTGTCTGGATCATTATGGAGCTGTGTACCCAGGGAGAGGTAAGAGAGGAATCGATCAAGGCCCATGTCTGTCTTCAAGCATTTGATAAAAGACTTGGGGGGAACGTGGAAGTATTGTGTGAACGTCTCTCTCTCTCGAAGGAAGAAGGAGCCTTCCCCGTTTGGCAACGGCAGAATCATAGTTTCAAATGGAGCCCGGCGGGAAATTGTGGATCGAAGAGGAAACCTAAACCTTTTTTTTTTTCTCAGTGTGGAGTTGAAGTGCAGATCTCTGGTTTACCAGTGGGAAGAGGAGAGCTGAAAATGATCATTAATAATAATAATAATAAAAAACTTTGCACGGCCTAAAGGTAGTCCTTGACACACAGCAGTTCATTTAGTGACCGTTCCAAGTTACAGAGGCACTGAAAAAAAGTGACCTAGGACCGTTTTTCACACCTATGACCATTGCAGCCTTGTAAAGAGGTCATAGTTGCCCACCCTTCAGAATCAGAAGAGAGCTGGAAGGGACCTTAGAGGTCATCTAGTCCAGCCCCATGCTCAAGCAGAAGATCCTATACCATCTCAGACAAGTGACTGTCTAGTCCAGTGATTCTCAACCTTTCTAATGCCGTGACCCCATAATACAGTTCCCCATGTTGTGGTGACCCCCAACCACTTATACATCACCGGGTGCCAGGGGCGTGGCCAAAGGAAAGGGGGAAAAAAATGGCAGACAGCTTTGTTTGGCGACCCCCGTGAAATGGTCGATCGACCCAAATGGGGTCCCGACCCACAGGTTGAGAACCGCTGGTCTAGTCTCTTTTTAAAAACCTCCAGTATGGAGCACCCACAACTTCCGAAGGCCAGCTGTTCCACTGGTTGATTGTCCTCACTGTTAGGAAGTTTCTCCTACATTCCTGGTTGCTTCTCTCCTTGATTAGTTTCCATCCATTGTTTCCTGTCCTGCCCTCTGATGCTTTGGAAAATAAGTTGAACCTCTCCTCTTTCTGGCACTCTCTCAAATACTGGAATACTGCTATCATGTCCCCCCTAGTCCTTCTTTTCTCTAGACTGGCCATACCCAATTCCTGCAACCCTTCTTAGTTTAGAGTACGGTGGTCCAAGCTCTTGTAAAACATGTACGTTTTGATTGGAAGGAAATTCATTTAATTCTAAACTTCAGCAGAGATACCCAAATTCGAATATTGTCATCGCTTTCCTTTTAATAGTTGAGTGCCACAACGATTGAGGCCATTGCCAGGACTTCCTGTGAAAGTCCAGTGATAGAAGTCCACTTTAGAAGTCTCAGTTTCTCTGAAGCAGTCCAGTGAGAATGGAGCAGGCTCAGTAGCCAGGGAATGGAGGACACTGGAATGGAGAAGAGAGATCAAGGCAGTTGGGATTCTTTACACCGCATCATCATCATCATCATCATCATATCGCACAGACTGACTACAAGTAGCGGCATGACAAAATAATAACAATGGTGCATTGGAAGATCTGCAAGAAATATTATTTTCCTATAAGCAAGAACTGGTGGGATCATAAAATAGAAAAAGTCATAGAAAATGGTCAAATTAAACTGCTCTGCAATTTCAGAATTCAAACAGACAAGCACCTGCAACATAACACCCCGGACTTAACAATTGTTGATAAGAAAGACAAAAAAGTCTGGATAGTGGACGTGGCAGTGCCTGGAGACAGCAGAATAGACAAGAAAGAACTGGAGAAGATAACAAAATACAAAGACCTACAAATAGAAATAGAAAGACTGTGGCAAAAGCAAGCAAGGGTAGTACCAATAGTCATAGGCTCCTTGGGTGCAATCTCAAAACAACTGGAGCACCACTTGAACACCATTGGCATTGATAAATTCGCTATTAGTCAATTGCAAAAGGCGGCCTTACTAGGAACTGCTTCCATCCTGCGATGATATCTGTAATACCATCAAACATCCGCATCTGCCTATCCCAGGTCCGTGGTAAGGACTCGATAGGTAGACAAAAATGCCAAATCCAGTCTGAACATCTGGTTGACTGTGTGATGAATAATAATAATAATAATAATAATAATAATAATAATAAAGTTGGAAGGGACCTTGGAGGTCATCTAGTCCAACCCCCTGCTCAGGCAGGAAACCTTATACCATTTCGGACAAATGGCTGTCCAGACTCTTAAAAACTTCCAGTGTTTGAGAAGAAACTGGACAGCCATTTGTTTGAAATGTTGAGTAGAGATCCTTTGCACTGCAATGTTCTGCCCCTGGTTTTGTTTTTGCTCAGTCTGACCTCTCTCTCTCTCTCTCTCTTTCTCCTTTATCCTGTAGCTGAGATCGTTTCTCCAAGTCAGAAAATACAGCTTAGATCTGGCGTCTTTGATACTTTACGCTTATCAACTTAGCACAGCCCTTGCCTACTTAGAGAGCAAACGGTTTGTACATAGGTAAGATCATCACCACCCAGCAAAATATTTGTATATATATATATATATATAAAAGTTGTATACATCGCCGTCTGGTATAACAGCCACCTTGGGTTCAATGGCATGGCGTTTTCGCATCCAGAACTCCCATTTTCTATTATTTTACGTATTTATCAAATTTGTACAGCCACCCATCTCACCAAAAGCAACTCTATATTTTGATTTAAGGAACAAGCAGGAGTAGTATCTGAACATCTCAGAATCCACTTCTTTTCATCCTTGATTTATTGGTGTCTTTGTGAGTATTACCCGTGTTTTCCTGAAAATAAGACCGGGTCTTATATTAATTTTTGCTCCAAAAGACGCACCAGGGCTTAATTTCCAGTTAGGTCTTATATTCAGGGAAATACGGTACTAAATGTGTCCATCTGGCTGACTCCTAACTGGGACTTATTTTTGGGATGGGGCTTATATTACGAGCATCCTGAAAAATCATGCTAGGGCTTATTTTCCAGTTGGGTCTTATTTTGGGGGAAAACACAGTGTTGGTTCCGAATCCAGCAGCATGCGAGAGACTTGGGAAAGGCTGACATCTGCTGGGCAGTCTCTCCCAGTGTTTTCTAAAATATTACTATTTTGAAAGGAAGGAGATCTGCCAAAACCTTTTGCGATTTCCAATTTTGAAGCAACCTGCAGCGCCCAAAGCAGCGATAGCTATAAGAGAGTTTTCCTGAAAACCATTTAACCAATAAATAGATTGTTTACATTTTCATGGTAATCAAAACGGAAAACAATCGGAGCGATATTTGACATTTTTAAGAATAAAGAAAATACTCTGTTAAACACGGATGTCAGACCCACAGTATAAAACTTCAAGTGCACACATCCTTGTAGAAGTTTCAGGGTGGTTTTGGATGCAGTATCTTCTAATCCTTGCAACACCCTGTACAGTACCTTATTTTAGAAGCAGAATAGAGCTGGAAGGGACCTTGGAGGTCTTGTAGTCCAGCCCCCCTGCTCAAGCAGGAGTCCCTATTCCAGACATGTCAAACACAAGGCCCGGGGGCCGGATGCGGCCTGCGAAGTGGTTTCATGTGGCCCGCGAAGCCATCCTGGAAACAGTGAGGGAACTGCCCCCGCTGCCTTGACCCCACCCAGGCCGGCTGGGAGCCAATGTACAATTTTGTGGTGGCCATCTTGTCGCTTGCCCCGGTCCCACCCCCTTCTGCCAGAGACCCTCAGATCTGTCCCACTCCTGTCCAGGCCCCCACAGGCCCCCTTGACGCAAACGATGTAGAACTGGACATGCCCACCCATAAGGCCACACCCACTCCATTCACGCCTACCCAGTAGGCTGTACCCACTCTGGCCACACACACATCCCCAGCGCAACCGCAATGCTGATGCGGCCCTCAGTGAAATTGAGTTTGACACCCCTGCCCTATACCGTTTCACACAAGTGGCTGTCTCCTCTGTTCTTAAAAACCTCCGGTGATGGAGCGCCCACGATTACTGGAGGCCAGCTGTTCCACTGGTTAATTGTCCTCACTGTTAGGAAGTTCCTCCTTAATTCCTTAATTTTAATTAGCTTACATAATTAATTTTGGTAAGCTTACATACTAAGGCAAAGATGCCAGCAAGATTCAGAATTCAGATTCCAACTAGGTTCTGCCTGATTTTTAACTAAGGGGTCAAGGAACCATAAATTAGTCTTGTTTTTTCTTAAAACAAGATCCTGGATATATATATTTTTTTCTGCTTCTACGTGCATATGTTTGTACATTTCATTGTAAGGGGACTGGAAAGGCTTTGAGCAGTATTAATAGGAAGAGTGCTCGCTCTTTCTTTTCTCCTGCTGCTCCAAACATCTGGTACCAAACAAAATTGTTACAGAGGTTTGGAACCCAGCCCCCAGCAGGCGCAGTGTGCAGCTTTCTCACTTGGTTGCCCTTATATATTCAGGTACAATTGTCTAATCCAGCTAGATTTTCATACAGTATGTAGTGTGACATATTGTACCTTTTTGTTGGAAGAGAGCAAGGAGCGTGATAAGATTTTGGGTGTGAAAATAATCTGATTAAATGTGCTCCAGATGTGCTCAGGTGTGCTGATGCCTCAAACTGAAGGATTAATGCTTATGTCTTCTACCAGGGATATTGCTGCTAGGAATGTACTGGTGTCCTCTACAGACTGTGTGAAACTAGGTGACTTTGGTTTGTCTCGGTATATGGAAGATAGCACATATTATAAAGGTAAGTAAGAGATGCGTCTACACCAGTGGTTCTCAACCTTTTTAATGCCGCGACCCCACCCCCCTGGCCGGTCGTATGTCGAGGACTACTCAACCGGTCGTAAGTCGAGGACTACTCAACTGGTGCAGCACCGTTTGCAGAGTGGGACTTTTGGCGGGCTCAGCAGGGCAGAGACAGCCTGGACAATTCCTATTGGCTTTTGAAAGCCAATAGAATTAGACTCTATTCAAGAGAGTCTATTCTATTGGCTTTCAAAAGCCAATAGAATAAAAGGGAGTAGCACAGCTAAGGAAAAGGGGGAAAAAATGGCGGACTGCGTTGTTTGGCGACCCCCGTGAAATGGTCGTTCGACCCCAAATGGGGTCCCGACCCACAGGTTGAGAACCACTGGTCTACACAATCCCTGTCTACAGCCTCTGTTGAGTAAAAAGAGTATCCTCTCCTAGACAGTGATGGCAAACTTTTTAGAGATTGAGTGCCAAAAAAGTGGCCCTGCCCCACCCCCGCTCCGCCCCCACCCCGTCTGCCCGCAGGGCCACTCACTGCCTCCAGGGCCCACCACAGATCACCCAGGCAGCCCAGCAGTACCATGGCGGCCACGGCCTCTACCCGCGCCCTGCAGCATCAACTGTGCGTGAATGAGCGTGGGGGCAGAGTCTTGTCTACGCTGCCTGGCTGCCATGTCCTTGGCTGCACTGCTCCACGTGGGCCACGCTCAGGGGCGACTCTCCTCCAGGGCGACTGCTGGTGAGGGGGTCGCGGGGGGAGGGAAGGCTGGGGCGGCAGGCATCCCCACAGAGAGGACTCCAAGTGCCACCTCTGGCACCCGTGCCATAGGTTCGCCACCACTGCCCTAGGACATGGGAAAAGAAGTATAGTCAGCAGCCCACAATTAAAAACCAGTATAGTCAAAGTCCATTTAAGTATTTTATTTTAAAAGATCAGTATAATTGTGTTGTCAGGTCTAGTTCAAATTTGTCATTAGGCTGTCAGAGAAATGCTTTTGGTATTTCACTGTGGCAGTCTCCCATAGGCCTGAGATCACAGTCCAGGACTGTAGAGTTAGAGGCATTAGAAAATAGAAATTATGAAGATCTTACTTCTGGTTGTGCGTATAGTCAAGGCCATGGTTTTCCCAGTTGCAATGTATGGCTGTGAAAGTTGGACCATAAGAAAGGCTGAGCGCCAAAGAATGGAGGCCTTTGAACTATGTTGCTGGAGAAGACTCCTGCGCGTCCCTTGGACTACAAGGCGGTCAAACCGGTCAGTCCTAGAGGAGATCAACCCCGACTGCTCTTTAGAAGGCCGGATCCTGAAGTTGAAACTCAACGTACTTTGGCCACCTAATGAGAAGGAAGGAGTCACTGGACAAGAGCGTAATGCTGGGAAAGGTTGAGGGCAAGAGAAGGGGACGACAGAGAATGAGGTGGCTGGATGGAGTCACTGAAGCAGTAGGTGTGAGCTTCAGTGGACTCCAGAAGATGGTAGAGGACAGGAAGGCCTGGAGGGACGTTGTCCATGGGGTCATGATGGGTCGGACACAACTTCGCAACTAACAACAACAACTTCTGGTTGGATCCTGGCACCACTAGATCAGGCTCAAAAGATCCTGGCACCACTAGATCAGGCTCAAAAGATTCTTGACAAGAGTTCCCGTTCTCCTTTCTCCATCTTGACCGAGGACTTGTATAAAGGAGCCCTAGCAAAGAATTGATCTGGTTTACTAAGTTGATTAGCAAATGGATTCTACACCGTTGAACAAATAGAAGGGAACTGGAAAGCATACAAGCATTCTCCATTTGCATTATTATAAATGTGAATGTATGCTATTGTATAGATAGTCCTAAACGTACGACTGCAATGGAGCCTGCCCATTACGGTCGCAAGTTGTGAAGGTAGTCAAGCGAGGCGCTGACTCGATTGGCTTGCTTAACAACCTCCAACTCTGCTCTCCCTGAAGTGGTTGTTAAGCAGAGCACGGGGTGCCTCAGAGGTGGGGAAGGCCCTAGGAGGCCTAGCGCAAACGTAGGCCCACCTGCCCCAGACTTCCCAGTGCCTCATCTACCATCTGAGGCACCCTGTGCTCTGCTTTCTACCTCTTGAGATCCCGGCAAGATTCTGATTTTTCAGTCTTGATTACATTTGATAAAAGTCAGAGCGCTACCAGGCCTACTGTATTTGGTATGTGAACATCTGGTGGACTGTTAGATGGTTTTGGATGCTGAGTACTGTTAACTCTTTACTGCCATCTAGTAGTCGTCATATTTTTGCTTCCCAGCTACGGAATGACTTCGCGACAATTGTGCTGCTTTCTGTGCAAAGCTTTGTGGCTAGGTGAGGGGTAGGCAACCTTTTTGACTTGTGGACTTCAACTCCCAGAATTCCTGAGCCAGCATGGCTCAGCTTGGAAACCTCTCCCTTTCCCCTCAGCGTGGCTGGCTCAGGAATTCTGGGAGTTGAAGTCCACAAGTCATAAAAAAGCCAAGGTTGCCTACCTCTGGCCTAGGCCTAGGCCGCTTTATGACTCGTGGACTTCAACTCCCAGAATTCCTGAGCCAGCATGGGGGAACTATGGCCCCCCTCATGACTCGTGGACTTCAACTCCCAGAATTCCTGAGCCAGCATGGCTCAGCTTGGAAAACTCTCCCCTCAGCGTGGCTGGCTCAGGAATTCTGGGAGTTGAAGTCCACGAGTCATAAAAGAGCCAAGGTTGCCTACCTCTGGCCTAGGCCTAAGCGGCTTTATGACTCATGGACTTCAACTCCCAGAATTCCTGAGCCAGTATGAGGGAAACTTTGGCCCCTTCATGACTGGTGGACTTCAACTCCCAGAATCCCTGAGCCAGCTTGGCTCAGCTTGAAAACCTCTCCCTTTCCCCTCAGCGTCGCTGGCTCAGGAATTCTGGGAGTTGAAGTCCACCAGTCATAAAAGAGCCAAGGTTGCCTACTCCTGCACTGGGTCATCTTTTATTCAAAGGCATTTACTTGATGTAAGATACCACAGTATAAGATCAAGGGGAGGAGTGATCCATTCATAACTCATATATCGGAAAGACAATAATATATGCAACAATAACCACCCAATCGTCCAAGCTGGCGAAAAATTCAGCCAGCACATTGAGATTTTGGCAAACATGCATGTGTATGTACTCCAAAGCTCAGCTCGCAGTCCAGCAATGTAAAATGTACGGCGTGGAGCAGAATGTTGACGTGTAAGAGGTCCTGAATAGATTTCCTTTCTGTACTTTAGCTTCAAAAGGAAAATTGCCCATCAAGTGGATGGCCCCAGAATCCATCAACTTCCGACGTTTTACCTCAGCCAGTGATGTTTGGATGTTTGGTAAGAAAAGATCACCAAGGGCTCGCTTTCCTGTGCCTCTGCCTCCATTTTAAACTGGTTATTGAATGTGCACAGCTGGTCCTCGACTTATCACCGCAATAGAGCCTTAAATTTATTTATGTTGCTAAGTGAGATGTTTGTTTATTTTACGACCTTTCTTGCCACAGGTGTTGAAGTGAATCATTGCAGTTGTTGAGTTAATACAGTGTTTCCCAAACTTGACAATTTTAAGGCATGAGGACTTCAACTCCCAGAATTCCACAGCCAGCGTTGCTGGCTGTGGAATTCTGGGAGTTGAAGTCCACATGCCTTAAAATTGTCAAGTTTGGGAAACACTGAGTTAGTAGCACAGTTGTTAAGAGAATCTGGCTTGCCCCATTGGCTTTTCTCATCAAGAAGTTTGCAAAAAGCTGATCACATGACCCCGGGACACGGCAACCGTCCTAAATACGAACCCGTTGCCAAGCATCCGAATGTTGATGACTTGACCACGGGGATGGCTGCAATGGTCCTAAGTGTGAAAAACGGTTATGAGTCACTTTTTTCATTGCCGTTGTAATTTTGAACGGTCACTAAACGAATTATTGTAAGTCGAGGACTCCCTGTATCTCCCTTGCCTGCTATTTGCATGGCACTCAAACAAATGATGATGATGATGATGATGATGATGATGATGAAGTTGGAAGGTACCCTGGAAGTCATCTAGTCCAACCCCCTGCTCAGGCAGGAAACCCTATACCATTTCAGACAAACGGTTGACTAATCTCTCCTTAAAAACCTCCAGTGTTGGAGCATTCACCGCTTCTAGTGTAGGTTCTCCTGCTTGAGCAGGGGGCTGGACTAGATGACTTCCAGGGTCCCTTCCAGCTCTACCCTACCCTACCCTACTCTACTCTACTCTCAATAAAGAATCCTATTCTATTCTATTCTATTCTATTCTATTCTTATTCTATTCTCAATAAAGAATCCTATCCTTATCCTATCCTATCCTATCCTATTCTCAATAAAGAGTTCTATTCTATTCTATTCTACATTCCATTCCATTCCTTTTTCTATTCTATTCTATTCTATTCTTCTCCTACTGCGCTCTTTCTCCACCCAAATGCATCGTGTGTCACTTTTGTATTGTATGAATTGGTTTGATGGAGCCCATTTTAGTCATTTCCTACAGGTCTAGAAAGAGGGAAAGGCAGTAAAAAGCAACATTTGCTATGTGTGTCTCCCAGGTTGCAAGGACATGTGTAGCGTGTGTTGACATTAGCCAGGGAAAGGGTGATTCCAAAATGAGACGGTTTCTTAGTCTTATCTACGAGTGTAATTCCCCAACTTAACAACCACCATTGAGCCCTAAATTTATGTCGCTAAGCGAGGCAGTTATTAAGTGAGTTTGGCACCCTTTGACGACCTTTCTTGTCATAGTTGTTACGTGAATCACTGCAGTTGTCAAGTTAGTGACATGGTTGTTAAGGGAATCAGGCTTCCTCCGTTGACTTTGCTTCCCTAAAGGTCACAAAAGGCCAGGGGTAGGCAACCTTGGCTCTTTTATGACTCGTGGACTTCAACTCCCAGAATTCCTGAGCCAGCTTGGCTCAGCCTGGAAACCTCTCCCTTCCCCTCAGCATGGCTGGCTTAGGAATTCTGGGAGTTGAAGTCCACGAGTCATGAAGGGGCCAAAGTTAGTTTCCCCCATGCTGGCTCAGGAATTCTGGGAGTTGACGTTCACGAGTCATAAAGCAGCTTGGGCCTAGGCCAGAGGTAGGCAACCTTGGCTCTTTTATGACTCATGGACTTCAACTCCCAAAATTCCTGAGCCAGCATGGGGGAACTGTGGCCTCTTCATGACTCGTGGACTTCAACTCCCAGAATTCCTGAGCCAGCATGGCTCAGTTTGGAAACCTCTCCCTTTCCCCTCAGCATAGCTGACTCAGGAATTCTGGGAGTTGAAGTCCACGAGTCATAAAAGAGCCAAGGTGGCCTACCCCTGCAAGAGGGGATCACATGACCCCGGGACACACTGCAACAAACATCAATACAAGTCCGTTGCCAAGCGTCCGAATTTTGATCCCGTGACCCTGGGGATGCTGCAGTGACCATGACCAACAGCCATAAGTCAGTTTTTTTCACTAGTATGGTCATGTTGAACGGTCGCTAAACAAATGGTTGTAAGTCAAGGAATACCTGTAGCAAAAAAGGGCCTGCCTTGCTCCATTTTAGGTGAGGAAATTATCCTTATAGCCAAAAAGAGTTGGGGCATCTAAACCTTGATGGTTCCCCCAGGAGGTCGCAGCAATTTGCACAGAAACAAAATTTGCCTTTTTCTTCTTCTTCTCGGGGCCGATATTAATCGGCTGCATCTTTTCCTCCTTCATCGATACCGTAGTCAATTGTAATGGTTATTTTTTAAAAAAAATGGTATGTCCAGAGTTCATTTCTCAGAAGCTTGTAGGAGCTACGTTTGCTTGCCAGCTCGTGTCGTTTCCAATAAATCATTGCTACCCATTCTCAGACAGAGAGTCATCCACTACCTGGAGACATGAGTAAGAATTCCAGTTTTATTATCTCAGGATTTAAGCCGGTTGAGACCTTTTCTGAGTGCAGTATTCAGTTTCACTTCTCCAGCTCGCTTTCAGAAGAGTTTGCTGTTCTTTTTTTTCCCCCCGCTTCCCAGGTGTATGCATGTGGGAAATCTTAATGCATGGCATTAAACCCTTTCAAGGGGTGAAGAACAACGACGTGATTGGCCGGATCGAAAACGGCGAGCGATTGCCGATGCCGCCCAACTGCCCACCTACTCTCTACAGCCTCATGACCAAATGTTGGGCGTATGATCCCAGCAGGCGTCCGCGATTTACGGAACTTAAAGCTCAACTGAAGTAAGAATTCCTTTTCTGTTTGCTCGTATGTAATAAGGCTCCTTTTTCTCTGTGAAAATAATAGTCTTTATGGGGGAGGGGGCGGTGATTGAGATACGGTGGCCTTTCCTTGCAAGCCAGGTTTTCATTACTCTTGATTGCAATTTGGAATAGCATCATTTTAAAGGAAAGCAACGCACCTAAAGAATGTCGGAATAATTGCAATTTGAATCCTACCATGGTAACATAATTGTCCTGCTTTATGTTTTTCTGACAACCTGTGAAGGGTGCTTGTTAAATGGCTGCCAAACGCCGTCTTTGGAACAGGCGTCCATCGTGAAATCCTTGTTTCCTTTTCATAGTTCCTTGTTCTCGTATTGACCATGTTGTACTGTTGTGTTTTATTGGCTGCCAGCAGAGATGGTCCCATCGTAGCATTAGGGCCATAGTCACATTGCTTTTCTAATAATAATAATAATAATAATAATAATAATAATAATAATAATAATAATAATAGTAGTAGTAGTAGTAGTAATGATGGTGGTGGTGATGATGATGATGTTGGAAGGGACCTTGGAGGTCATCTAGTCCAACCCCCTGCTCAGGCAGAAAACCCTATACCATTTCGGACAAATGGCTGTCCAGTCTCTTCTTAAAAACTTCCAGTGTTGGAGCATTCACCGCTTCTGGAGGCAGGTTGTTCCACTGGTTAATTGTTCTAACTGTCAGGAAGTTTCTCCTTAGTTCTAGGTTGCTTCTCTCCTTGGTTAGTTTCCATCTGTTGCTTCTTGTCCTGCCTTCAGGCGCTTTGGAGAATAGCTTGACTCCCTCTTCTTTGGGGCAGCCCCTGAGAGTTAATATAGTTAATGCTAGAAGGTACCAGCTGAAGAGTGCAGAGAAGAGCAACAAAGATGATTAGGGGACTGGAGGGTAAAACATACAAGGAACGGTTGCTGGAATTTGGAATGAAAATTGTGTGCTCAGTTATGGTTGTAACTCGAGGGCTACCTACGTTCCATAGCTGTGAAGCTGCAACTGAAAAGCTCCTGTGCCTGAGTTCAACACAATAGCGAAGGTCATGAAAACATCCTTGGGATATTTGAGGAGAAACTGACTGTAAGAGATCATGGAATACTGTTCGTTCCTCGTTGAGCAAAATAAAACAAAATATTGGTGTGAGGTTTTTTTTATGAGAGGCCCAGAAATGAGTCACATCTCCAATTTCAGCCAGTCTTAAGTTTAAATAACTTCCATTAACTTTTTTCTTTTTTCTTTTCTCTGAACAAAGAGAGATGCCTTTGGCTTCACCATCCCTCCAGAAAGGCTAAGTCAGCCCTTTGGCCTAAAGCATTGGGAATTCCCTTCTGGTGAGGCAACCGTGGGCAGTTGGAACACATTGGAGAGTTTACGCTATGATGTATCCACAAAGCAATGCTTCGTCCCACTTCGGAGTTCACTTTTTTGTGTGTGTTTTCTGTTGTCATCATTTTTTTTTTGTGTGTGTGTGTGTGATTTCTACAAGAAAGACCTCCTCCGCTGTTAACGTGTTTTCTACAAAGCTGATGAGTTCAAGATAGTGAACCAAAAAAAAAAAAAAGGAGCAGAGAGCTGGGCTTATCTCAGGCAAGGAGCTCTTTCTGTAAGTTTGACAAGCTGGAATTCTTGATCTTGGAAGGCCAGCATGATCAACCTTCATTTTATACCTTTCAGTTGTTTCCTGGTTTGTGGACACACGTTAGTGCTAATGCTTCAATCAGTGTCTCCTTCCAACAGTCTACACAGTATTAGGCCTTTTTTTAATATACTGTGTTCCATTTCAGACGAAATAAAATTGTGCAGAAATGTCTGTGGAGATGCTCAATCATCCAGGTTCTTGGTCTCAAAGGTGCTTTTGCAAAAGGCAAGTGGGCTTTGCTTTTCCTGGAAGACGTTTCCCTTCTCATCCAAGGAGCTTCTTCAGTTCTGACTGTTCTTTAGAAATATCTAAAGAAATATCTCCCCATAGTTATGTAGGACGGGGCTTTTCAACCCGTGGTACGGGTACCACCTGTGGTACATTGGCACCTGGCAGGTGGTACGTGACCATCCTAGAAAAGTGGTAGCGGGGGAAGGGAATGAGCTGAACCGGTGGCAGCACCGCACAAGCCTGAGCGAGAGATGGCTGGAGCTGCAGGGCTCTCAGGGCTCAGTGGAAGTGCCAGGATCAGCACCAGGCTCAAGCTGGAGCTCAGCGCTGATCCTGGTGCTTCTGCTGAGCCCTGAAGAAGCACCAATCAGCTGGAAAGCAGCACTGATCCTGGCGCTTCTGCTGAGCCCAGAAGAAGCGCCAATCAGCTGGAATGTTGCAGCATCTCCAGGGTCTTGTGATTTACATTCAGATGCTTGGCCACTGATTCATATTTATGACGGTCACAGTGTCCCAAGGTCATGTGAAGTGAGGAAAACCTGCTGCAACCACCCAGCAGACAGGCGGAATAAAAAAAACCAAACACCCCCCCACCCCACCTCCGCTGCCAATCCTCAACAGAAATGCTCACAACAATGAAAACCTCGGACAGGAGGAAGAGCACAGCCGAGTGGGCAGGCAGGTGTCTTGCTCGGCTGTGGCTTGGGGGGCATTTTTTTCAGTGCCATTGTAACTTTAAACAGTCACTGAGCGAACTGTTGTAAGTTGAAGACTACCTGTACTTTATCACTTTTTTCCTTTTTTGGGGGGGGGGTCATCAGATTTTTGACACCTTGCTAGATGACTGGTGATACTTGGATATTGTCATATCCTAAAAGTGGTACAATGGGTAAAGCCCTGGACTATAAAATCTAGCAATAAGTAAGCTCCTATTCCACTAAGTTTTCAAACGTGCGTTTCTAGTTGCTGTCTCCTGGCCCAGCTGAAGGGTAAATTGGCTCAAGTACAATACTCTCTGCAAAGGGTTTCCTTTAGCTTTTATTTATTGATAATCTTGCATGTTCCACTTTGAAATCTGCAAGGCCGTTTGTAGAAATATAGACGCAGGGGGCAGGCGCAAAAGATTTCTGAAGCTTTTTAACTCTTTCTAGTGGCAAATTAGTAGTTTTATTTCCTTTAGCGGCGAAATACGGGGGGCAACTTTTCATCTTAATTTATCTTGTTGCTTAGTAAGTTAGGAATGGTTTAACTAGGCCAGGGGTAGGCAACCTTGACTCTTTTATGACTGGTGGACTTCAACTCCCAGAATTCCTGAGCCAGCCATGCTGAGGGGAAAGGGAGAGGTTTCCAAGCTGAGCCATGCTGGCTCAGGAATTCTGGGAGTTGAAGTCCACGAGTCAGGGGGCCTAGGCCTAGGCCAGAGGTAGGCAACCTTGGCTCTTTGATGACTCGTGGACTTCAACTCCCAGAATTCCTGAACCAGCCGTGCTGAGGGGAAAGGGAGAGGTTTCCAAGCTGAGCCATGCTGGCTCAGGAATTCTGGGAGTTGAAGTCCACGGGTCATGAGGGGGCCAAAGTTTCTCCCATGCTGGCTCAGGAATTCTGGGAGTTGAAGTCCACGAATCAGACAGCGGCCTAGGCCTAGGCCAGAGGTAAGCAATCTTGGCTCTTTTATGATTGGTGGACTTCAACTCCCAGAATTCCTGAGCCAGCCACGCTGAGGGGAAAGGGAGAGGTTTCCAATCTGAGCCATGCTGGCTCAGGAATTCTGGGAGTTGAAGTCCATGAGTCATAAAAGAGCCAAGGTTGCCTTCCCCTGAACTAGGACAATGATGGTGTCTCCATCTCTGGAGGTTTTTAAGAAGTGACCAAAGAGCTACTTCTGATAAATGGTTTAATTCATTTTTGTGCACAATGTTGAGGGTTGGTAGGTCTTTTTCTTCCAATGCTCTGTGATGGGATGAGTAGTTTTCACTGCATCTTATAGTAGGATGAACTAATAACCTAGGTGAGAAAATCACTATTAATCCTCTTCATAGGAAAGAAACTAAATTTAAGAGTACCTTTGGAGTTTCTTCCATCACTTAGATATGAACCAGCTGTGTGCTGCACCTGCCAAAAAAGCCAACACAGTACTGGGCTGCATTAACAGAGGGATAGAATCAAGATCACGTGAAGTGTTAATACCACTTTACAAGGCCTTGGTAAGGCCACACTTGGAATACTGCATCCAGTTTTGGTCACCACGATGTAAAAAAGATGTTGAGACTCTAGAAAGAGTACAGAGAAGAGCAACAAAGATGATCAGGGGACTGGAGGCTAAAATATATAAGGAACGGTTGCTGGAATTGGGTATGTCTAGTTTAATGAAGAGAAGGACGAGGGGGGACAGGATAGCAGTGTTCCAATATCTCAGGGGCTGCCCCAAAGAAGAGGAAGTCAAGCTATTCTCCAAAGCACCTGAAGGCAGGACAAGAAGCCATGGATGGAAACTGATCAAGGAGAGAAGCAACCTAGAACTAAGGAGAAACTTCCTGACAGTCAGAACAATTAACGAGTGGAACAACCTGCCTCCAGAAGCGGTGAATGCTCCAACACTGGAAGTTTTTAAGAAGAGACTGGACAGCCATTTGTCCGAAATGGTATAGGGTTTACTGCCTGAGCAGGGGGTTGGACTAGATGACCTCCAAGATCCCTTCCAACTTTATTATTATTATTATTATTATTATTATTATTATCATCATCATCATCATCATCATCATCTCCAAGGTCCCTTCCAACATTATTATTATTATTATTATTATTATTATTATTATTATTATTATTATTATTATTATTATTATTATTATTATCCATAATGAACTCCGTAATTCTACCGTATCGCATGGGTCTGTAAGAGATGGAAAAGCTTTGGTGAAACAGAAGAATTAGCTTAAGGTCACAATGAAAAAAAGAATGGAGGTTACCCAGCATTGTGAAATTTCTATTTGAAGATACGATTTTCATATTTTAAATCTCTAAACAACTAGGGGATGTCTTGAAGCTGTTTTAAAATCTGGCAGATACAAGCTGCATGACACGACATGCCCTTTGACTTGCATGCTTTATTGTCGTACAAATAACATTCCAGTTTGGGAAAATATGATTCAGTTTGACTCTCCTAACCTCCGGCGAGTTCTCGTTTTTTAAAATCCTAAGAGTGCATTCCAAACCAGACGTAAAAAGGGGAACCGGGAACATCTCTGGAGGTTGAGCTGTTCCCGGCTGACGCTTCAAGTGCTCACACAAAGTCAGAGCTTTGATCATTTTTCATCCTTGGTTTGGAACAGTCCAGAGCAGAGACCCCCAACCTTTTGGGCACCAGGGACCGGTTCCATGGAGAAAGGTTTTTTGCACGGACCGGAGAGTGCGTGGTTTTGTGTGAGGCCTGCATCCCATGGATGAGGCTTTGCTTGTTTCTGTGGACCGGTTGCTGGCATGCCGTGGCCCGGTACAAGTCCTCGGATTGGGGATTGGGGACCCCTGTTCCAGAGTATCTCACGGTTGTTTCCATGCTTTCTTTTTTGTCAGAGCAGAGAGAAAAGCATCTGAGAATTGGTTCCATTTCAGCTGGTTATTTATTTATTTATGAGACTTATATATCGCTTTTAAGTGCAAGCACTCTCTAAGCCAGTGGTTCTCAACCTGTGGGTCGGGACCCCATTTGGGGTCAAACGACGATTTCACGGGGGTCGCCAAAGAAGGCTGTCCGTCATTTTTCCCCCTTTGGCCACGCCCCTGGCACCCGGTGATGTATAAGTGCTTGGGGGTCACCACAACATGGGGAACTGTATTATGGGGTCGCAGCATTAGAAAGGTTGAGAACCACTGCTCTAAGCGGTGTACACCAGTAAGCAATGTATATATATATATATTTACATTGCCCCCAACAATCTGGGTCCTCATTTTACCTACCCCGGAAGGATGGAAGGCTGAGTCAACCTTGAGCCGGTGAGATTTGAACCACTGACCTGCTGAACACAGTCAGCTAAAGTGGCCTGCAGTACTGCACTCTAACTGCTGCGCCACCTCGGCTCTTTGGAAGTCGGCGTGCCTTAACAGAATAACAGAAGGGGTTTGGGGTGGTCTTCTGGTCCAACCACAGGAGACCCTGTGCAATTTCAGGCAAATGCTTGTCCAGTCTCTTCTGAAAAATCTCACCCACAACTTCTGGGGGCAAGTCGTTCCACTGGTTAATTATTCTAACTGCCCGGGAATTATTCCTTATTTCTAGATTTGGTGAGAGCAGGGAAGTAGGGAATGTTAAGCGAGACTGTCTTGGTTAATGGCCATCACGACGTGACCACAATGGACAGACTCCGTTAGGCTCATACGTTGAGGACTATCTGGGGTAAAGAATTTGTTTTTGAATAAGTAGTGGATTTGGACAGCTTATCTTGTTCCTCTTGTGCCTTAGAGAACCAGACAGAACGGATGTAAATTCTAAATAGCTTGTAGAAAGTCTTGACCGGCATCCAAAGCACAGCAGTTGTTCCTGTGCCAGGCTGATTAGCTTGCAGCTCTGGAGAGACTAATGTGAAAACGATCAGATCAGCTTCAAACTCTTATGATTACACATAGCAGTTTTCTAGAATGCTTAGTAAATCTGGGAAGCTGCAACTCATGATGGATAATCTAGTTGGCTAGTTTGCATGCCAGGAAGAGCGTTGGTAAGTAGTGGAGAGCTGAAGTTAAAAAAAAAAAATTGTATTTAAGTAGTTTTTTTTCTTCTTCCCGCCAAGCAATTATTGCATTTTTTGCTTTTTTAAAGAGAGAACGTTTGATTTGTTCAAAGGAAAAAAAATGAGATTATTTGCTAATAGATTCGTGAGTCTTCCTAAACTGTAAGAGAGTCAGAAGATTTTTCAGTAATCAGGCAACCTTATTTTCTATGTTCATATTTTTTCTCCCCAAGCAAATATATATTTTTTTTTACTTGCTCTAGGAAAGCTTTTTTTAAAATCAAAAGGAATGGGATCTACATTCATTCATACGTACAGATTTTCTTTCTCCTTTTGGGAAATCGCGCATAGCTTTCTAAAAATATCTTTCATTGGTATGTGTGTTAGTGTTTAAAAAGTCTTACATTTCAATGCCGAGTTGCTAATTTTGCAAAGGCATGGAATTCTCTCCTCCCCCCCCCATTCCATCTCCCCTTCCTCCAGAATAGCCTTAGAAAAGTCTAAAAGTTTCTGTTGCTGTCTGAAAAAAGAAGAAGACTGTATTTGTCTACTGCATTCCTGACTTGTCTCCAGTCTGGAACCCCTGATTTGAGGAATGCACTCGGAGGAGACTCCAGGACCACATTTATTATATTCCGAGACATAATGCCATTTATCTTCGGCTCCCCGCTTGTTTCCCTCTTAGTACGATCCTGGAGGAGGAGAAGCTGCAGCAGGAAGAACGAGTAAGGATGGAGTCCAGGCGACAAGTCACCGTGTCCTGGGATTCTGGAGGATCCGATGAAGCTCCTCCCAAGGTACTATTGAGTGAAGATCAATTTTATCTCATATCTTTTATCCTCAAAGGGCGTTCAGTATAAATTTATGGATGAGCAGTGCTGAGGCCATTTAACAGACCAGGGTTCCCTTTTGGTTAAAATCCAAGCAACACTTTTTTTTTTAATAACTACTAATAGAAGAGAATATTTGTAGGTTGAACTTTGAGGTCCTTGGTGCTCTTTGAGCGTGGTTGTTTTCATGAAATGTCTGCAAGAAAAGAACCAAGGACTCCTCAGTTATTAATGCCCAGCTAACTTTGATAAATTAGAAACAACCAACCAATAACAAGTGATGGTCACTATCTGTAATGATTTGTTAACTGGGGAATGGGGAGGGAATTAAATACTCTATTCACAGTTAATAATAATAACGGTTGGGATTAAAGATGAATGTTAAGATAGAAATATATGTTATTTTAGAGCAAGTATTGTATATAAAACTTAGATGTATATGCAGAGATGAAGAATTGATTGTAAAAAGTGGAATAATCTGATAAGAATGTATATACTGGAATGCCACGTTAAATGCAATGTTTGTTTGTTTTTAACTATTATAAATAAAATTTGTAAAAAATAACAACAACAACAACAACAATAATAATAATGATAATAATAATAATAATAATAATAATAATAATGTTGGAAGGGACCTCCAAGGTCCCTTCCAACATTATTATTATTATTATTATTATTATTATTATTATTGTTGTTGTTGTTGTTAATAAAGTCTTTCTGATATGGTTTTTGTTTGTTTTTGCAAAGACATACAGTTCTACTCTGGAAAAAAAACCACGATATGGTGATTACTTCTGACAACAGGATATATTTTTTTGTGATATTCAGCCAGGTTGCTAATTATCCTTCTCTACATTCACATTTCCTTCTTTGAATTCTCTCCTGCCAGGGAACTTGTCATTCAATTGTCTTGCCTTAGATAAAGCATTTGCTTTTTGGTCTTATTTGTCATCTTACCAGTGACCGATTAAGAGAGACTTCTTGTCGTCCAGAAGCTTAAGTTGATGGCATCCGAGGGAAACATTTTCAAAATTACTGTATTTTCCGGTGTAAAAGACGACTTTCTAAACCATGAAAATCTTCTCAAAAGTCGGGGGTCGTCTTCTACGCCGAGTCGTCTTATACGCCGAGTCGTCTTATACGCCGGAAAATACCCGTATTTTCCGCTGTATAAGACGACTTTCTAAACCAGTGGTTCTCAACCTGTGGGTCGGGACCCCATTTGGGGTCGAACGACCATTTCACGGGGGTCGCCAAACAACGCAGTCCGCCATTTTTCCCCCTTTTCCTTAGCTGTGCTACTCCCTTTTATTCTATTGGCTTTTGAAAGCCAATAGAATAGACGCTCTTGAATAGAGTCTAATTCTATTGGCTTTCAAAAGTCAATAGGAATTGTCCAGGTTGTCTCTGCCCTGCTGAGCCCGCCAAAAGTCCCATTCTGCAAACGGTGCTGCACCAGTTGAGTAGTCCTCGACTTACGACCGGTTGAGTAGTCCTCGACTTATGACCGGTTGGGGGGTCACGGCATTAAAAAGGTTGAGAACCATTGTTCTAAACCATTAAAATCTTCTCAAAAGTCAGGGCTTGTCTTATACGCTGAGTCATCTTATACGCCGGAAAATACCCGTATTTTCTGGCGTATAAGACGACTTTCTAAACCATGAAAATCTTCTCAAACGTCGGGGGTCGTCTTATACGCCGAGTCGTCTTATACGCTGGAAAATACGGTAGTTTCTTCCTTTCTGCTTTTATGTTGGGAGAAATCCTCCTGTGAAGAATGAGATTGTTTGCTGAAGTTTTGTTTACATCTGCTTTTGTTTTGTCAGCTTGCCTTTTGAGAGTGGAAAGCCCTTGGCGTAGTTGCTCATGGCTAATTTGTGTCGCGTTTCTTATCTGGACGTGTATTTGTCTGGCCACTTCTAACGTGGGTCATGAGAAACGGTGTGTCATACGTTTGCCAGGCAAATATGAGTCCATGTGGAATCGCAGGAATTCATTTCTCATTCTTTACGTAATAGAGAATGCCAGATAAAATCCGGAGCAGAGATATGGGATAGGAGAGGATAAGACAGGATAAGAACTGGGAGGAGAGGACGCAAGACTGACGGCATGGGAACCGGAGTACAAGCAAGTCAAAAATAGCCGGCTTTCTGACAGAAAATTTTTCAGTTGGAATGTCATGTTTCTCCCAGTCTGATTGACACTTGGAAAAGTTTTTTTCCTACTCTGAGTATGGTGAAAATTGTATTCCTTTCTGCACATAATTTTTTGAGAAAGACTTATATCCCCATTCGACATACGTATGTAAATTATATATGTGTGTGTGTTTTCTGAGGTTTTCACGGGTGTTTGTATGTAGGTCTTTGGTTATTCGGGTTTTCTCCCACGTAAAATTGGAAGTGTCTTGGCGACGTTTCAACGAAGTCTCATTCGTCATCTTCAGGCTGGTGTTTTCAGCTTCGTGCTTCTAGGAGCAATGTTTGTTCTACATACAAACACCCGCGAAAACCTCAGAAAACATACATACATACATACATACATACATACATACATACATACATACATATATATCCAAATTTCTTTTTCTGACAAAGAATTAAAGAATTAAATTGGGAGACTAAGATGGCCATTTCGAGCTCATTCTGCTCTCGTCAGTTAATCACATTCTGCTCTCGTCAGTTAGCCACACACACACATATATATATATATATATATTATAATTTTACAGTATTTACAATTATAGTTTCATTTCATATATAAATATTTTATTAATTTTCTATTTTTACAAGCAAGTGCTTAATAAACAACGTGTTGAATGGGTCCACTAGTAATTCTGTGATACATATAAGTTTCTCCAAGCTAAATCCAATATTACACCATCCAATACGTCCTCTCTTCTTCCGGTAATAAACATTTTACCACGTTAAGCAATTGCGATTCTTATTGTTGTTAATAGATGTACAACTGAATATCAGCATTTGTTACAGTTTTCTAATAGTATCAATGATATCAGTTTAAAACATCTTTTCTAACCAAAACATATCTTAATTGCCATTTGCACTCAATATCCATTTAATCAGTCAGTATCCTATTTTCGCTTCTTTTTTTTCAGTTTTAATTTACCATCCATATTCAAAATATCCCAATCATTTTTTTAGTTTCAAAACAAGTTATTATTTAGGTAACCAAAAGCTTCCCTTATTTAAACTTCTTTCATTCCATTCTTAATTAGCTCCCTTGATCTTCACCAGGATTTACTTGAGAAATAAAAGTTTATTATAGGTGAAGAATAGGCTTTGGTTGAGAGTCGTTGAAATATTACTAAGTGTAGGATATCTGTGATAAAAGTTGGACTGGCCACCTTCTGTAAAGACTCTTTTTGAATGCTTCCATTTGATCTCAACAGAAGTGATCCACGTTACCATCATCTTAATGCTTCATGCATAATCTTACTTGCACCAGAATACCGGGTGGGATGGGACTTTGTCCAAAGCTTCCCCAAGCAGGAGACCTTATAGCAGTGGTTCTCAACCTTTTTAATGCCGCGACCCCCAACCGGTCGTAAATCGAGGACTACTCAACCGGTCGTAAGTCGAGGACTACTCAACTGGTCGTAAGTCGAGGACTACTCAACTGGTGCAGCACTGTTTGCAGAATGGGACTTTTGGCGGGCTCAGCAGGGCAGAGACAGCCTGGACAATTCCTACTGGCTTTTGAAAGCCAATAGAATTAGACTCTATTCAAGAAAGTCTATTCTATTGGCTTTCAAAAGCCAATAGAATAAAAGGGAGTAGCACAGCTAAGGAAAAGGGGGAAAAAATGGCAGACTGCGGTGTTTGGCGACCCCCGTGAAATGGTCGTTCGACCCCAAATGGGGTCCCGACCCACAGGTTGAGAACCACTGCCTTATAGCATGCCTGGCTGAGGAATTCTGGGAGTTGAAGTCCACATGTCATAAAAGGGCCAAGTTTGAAGACCCCTGCCTTGTAGCATTCTGGCCAAAGGGCTGTCCAGTGTCTTTTGAAAAACCTCCAGTGATGGAGTACCCACAACTCCTGGAGATCAGCCGTTCCACTGATTGATTGTTCTCATCGTCAGGAAGTTTCTCCTTAATTCTAGATTGGATCCCTGATAAGCTTCCATCCGTTCCTTCTTGTCCTGCTCTCAGGTGTTCTGGAGAATAAATCAAACCCCTCTTCTCTGTGATGACCCCTCAGATATTGGAACACTGCCATCATGTCAACCCTAGTCCTTCTTTTCACTAGACTAGGCCTATCCAGTTCCTGCAACTATTCGTTGCATGTTTTAACCTCCAGCCCCCTAATCAACTTGGTTGCTTCTCTTTGCACTCTCTCTCTAGAGCAGTGGTTCTCAACCTGTGGGTCGAGACCCCATTTGGGGTCGAACGACCATTTCACGGGGGTCACCAAACAACGCAGTCCGCCATTTTTTTCCCCCTTTTCCTTAGCTGTGCTACTCCCTTTTATTCTATTGGCTTTTGAAAGCCAATAGAATAGACTCTCTTGAATAGAGTCTAATTCTATTGGCTTTCAAAAGCCAATAGGAATTGTCCAGGCTGTCTCTGCCCTGCCTAGCCCGCCAAAAGTCCCATTCTGCAAACGGTGCTGCACCAGCTGAGTAGTCCTCGACTTACGACCAGTTGAGTAGTCCTTGACTTACGACCGGTTGGGGGTTGCAACATTAAAAAGGTTGAGAACCACTGCTCTAGAGTCTCAACGTGTTTTGTATATTGTGAGGACCAAAACTAGGTGCAGTACTCCAAGGGTGGCCTTACCAAGGCATTGTAAAGTGGTATTAACACTTCACATGATCTTAATCCCTCTGTTGGTGCAGCCTTGCACTGGGTTGGCTTTTTTGGCAGCTGCAGCACACGGCGGGCTCATGCTTAAAAGGTTGCACACTAGGTTCTTAGATCCCTCTCACAGTTATTGCTGTTGAACCGG